AGCCTCGGTGGAACTGATCCTCGGATGCTCTGGCTGTCATCGTTCGCATTGCTGCCATCGTCTGCTGCGTTGCTGAGCTGATCATTGACGACATCATCGACATCTTGGACATATGCAACCTCGTCTTCTGCGGAGTAGTTCAGTAGGTTCCAGATGTCCATTGGGTTGGGATAACGGAACTGGAAAATTTGCGACTCAAGTTCTTCCACGATAGCTTGATCCATGAGCTCGTTCTTGTCAATTGGGATGACTTCGGTTGGCTCCGACCGAATCTTGCCATGGCGGAAGCAATTGTGGATTGTTGTAGGCTTAATGTTTGTAGACCAAGCAGGCACTGCCAACTGAATGGCTTGAAAAACATCGATCTTCTTAGGCTGCTCAATCTTGTCATCCAGATGTTGCAGAAGCAGGCGGTTGAAACTACGGCGGTAGTAGACCTTGAACTTGCAGATGATTCCTTGGTCGCAAGGTTGGATCTTTGACGTTGTGTTCGGTGGGAGATATATAATAGTTGTGTTGCAAAGCGTTATCCGTTCGGGAAGCTCGTCAATTGGAATGTGGGCGTTACAATTGTCAAGAATTAACAGAATTTTTGGGTTGGTCATTCGTCGATCAAAGTCTTTAAGTCATTCAAGGAAGATCAGTTGCGTCATCCAAGCCTTTGAATTGTTCCGTTAGATGCAACCAAAATTTCCACGGTTGATATTTTTGAAGCACCTCAGATTGGCAAACTTCCCGATGATCCAGAGCGGAAGCTTATCGCTGCCATCATCATTGCAGCAGACCGCCACACTGATGCACTCCTTGTTTTGCTTCAGGCCCTCTAGTTGACGTGTGGCAAGAGAATTGTGCGCCTGATGTTAGTCAGTGTGTTAGATTTGAACCACGTCGTCTACAAACCAAGAAATTTGATGAACGTAAAAAATACCTGCATCCGGAAAAAAGGCCATTCTTGTCCATGTTGCAGATATCCTTCTACTCGAACTTATCCAACGTTTCACAAAGACGAGGAAGGCTTTCATAGATGATCTGCTTGTTCACCCTACCCCTCTCTCCAAAGCGTCGGCGCGAGCGGATGTTGTTGCGCTTCTTGAACGCCTCCAGCCAGCCATTGAAAAACTTGAAGCTGTGGTCATGGTCGGGATGGAGCTTGCCGTGCATCTGTTGGGCAGCTTCACACACGAGTTCACCGCTGAAGTTGATGCGGTATTGATGGCCGTGGAACCAAGCGACGAGTGCGTCTTTCATCATGGGATACTTGACTAAACGATGACGTTTGCTGTTCTGGTTTGCAACCTCCGGATCAAGCTGGATAAGCTCTGTCGACCACTTGAATGTGTTGATGACTGTGCCTTGGCTGACTTTGACGTAGTGCTTTTGCTGGAGCCAACTAACAAGCTCTTTTTGTGTCAGCTTAGGGTTTGCAATGTGATGCTTGCAAATGTCAATGCGGATCTTATCCGACATTGTGGTGTGCTTCACTCCCTGTAGCGACATGTTGAGAGCAGTTGCGTGCGATTTGGCGAGTTGTTGGTTGTGTTTGGTGTTGCAAGATGTGTCTAGTTGGTAGTTGTGGTCTGTGTGGTGCATAGGTGGGTGCCTTGCGAGTTTCTGACAATAATACAAGGCGCCGGACATCGTACATCCTAAACTAATAACCTCCGTAAATTAATCGGGCAGGGAGGTCCCAAGAGTATTATTTTAGATAGGTTCTACTGTATTTATTTAAAAATATATTTGATCGTTTGGAGATTTTATTACTTCATGTCTAACATCAATGTAAAATCTAACTTCATTGCAATTTATTGTGACAAAAAAAAACATTTTTGTTATTGCAAGATTGATGAATATTTAAGAGAAATGCTACATCGACGATATCCAATGTTAAACTAAAACAACTGTTACTACTTTCAAAAATTGATATTTTGCACACAAGCCCAAGTATCATCTCTAAGCACATTTCTGTTAAGTTTTGCTCCATATTAACAGAAAACACAATCAAACATGATATTTCTAAATACACACTTAACAAACAATGAATACTGAGTACTAATTGAAACTATTGCAAAAAACCACGTGAGATACATCTGTTGTGTCTAGTTTGACAATTTAAGTGACTGTTTTAATGTTATGTAATCGCTGTAACATTTGTCTGTTTTTTTCTTATGTTTTTTCATGAGTTGAATTTGACTTCTTTTTTTCTCATAAATTCTCAACCATTGTAAGATTCCAAGAGAAATTTTTTTGTTTTATTATATTAGTGTGTTCGCAAACCAACAATTATTTGTAACTTTAATTTTTGAAAAGTTTCATTTTATTTTTGTATTGTATTTTTTCCATATTATTGAATAATCGTTGCAATATTGACTCACCCATCTTTCGATTATTATCAAATTTGACAAGACTTGATAATATAATCTCATCATTATTATAAATTCTCGTTATTCATCAAGCCATTAAATTATTTTTATAAAACAAATCTAAGACTTATAGTTGACGAAACTCCAATCTATATCTTGACCTTATTACTTGTGATGATGATGCATAATAGAAAGTTCTCAATTCAATTGATGTTGGATCAAACTAATACTGCTTTATACTTCTCTCTCTATAATTACATAAACGTTTAAAATTCATTGAAAAATTAAGAATTTTTCATGCTTAGTTCATACTATGTAAATTGTTAAAATCAAATTTTTGCTTGCTTGATAATTCAAATCTAGTTCTATCACATCTATTGTATTATTATCCATTATAGACACTTGAAAACTATACAATATTTCAACATATTCACATTTTTTCATTTTCAAATCCCATCAGTTTATTCTTGTCGCCTAAAAAGAATCAATTTTTTGAAAAGTCTTCAATTATGACAACAGTTGATGAAGATTTCTTGGTAGGAATCATAAGTGGATGGTTAAGTTTTCCAATGTACTCTGTCCAATAATTAATGACACGATTTCAAACTTTTGTGTGATTAATTTGGGTTGCTAATCACGCTTCTAGTAAAGTGAGAGCACCTCTGGTCTCGTAAGATGTGCTTTAGCCGTAGTAAGCCAAGAAATAACCCGACGGAGACATGCTCATTTCTTGTTCACTCTAAGGAAGATGACGATTGCTATGTAGAGAACTGATCGGTAACGATCGCATCGAGAAGTACGAATCATGTATATAACAAGCTAACACCCACAAAAAAGGGAAAAAAAGGCCTAGAAATATGACTTCATCAGATTGACTTTTATCCACTTCCTCATACGACACGAAAAGTTGCCAGCCTTTGTCCAGTGACGAAGTTTACTTTCCCAGTGCTACATCAACGAAATCAAATCGACAATTACAATTAGCTGTTCTACACTGATATAGTATGGACGTGACAATGTCTTGTGTTGATTACCTTCCCGCAAGCCTGGCTTCCCAGTGCTACATCAACGAAATCAAATCGACAATTACAATTAGCTGTTCTACACTGATATAGTATGGACGTGACAATGTCTTGTGTTGATTACCTTCCCGCAAGCCTGGCTTCCCAGTGCTACATCAACGAAATCAAATCGACAATTACAACTAGCTGTTCTACACTGATATAGTATGGACGTGACAATGTCTTGTGTTGATTACCTTCCCGCAAGCCTGGCTTGGCCTCGAACGTAACATGCTCACAGAAAGCACTGGAAGCAGGTAGAAAGTAATAGCTGAAAAAATACGTCTATATGCTTGTCTAGTCTTCATCTGTGGTTTGGAAAGCCTGCTACCATTCCTGGCTCTGCCAGTGAGTAGTTCGAGTTTAATTAATAAGTGAACTTCAAAAGATCTCGGTCCAGTGACTTCTCTATCGATAAATAACAGCTCGGGAGAAGGCAAGAATGAGATGCAAACATTTGAACGATTTCATCGACGCCTGTCAAGTCAGAAAAAAGTTTCCGTGGAAGATGAATCATGCAGAATATAAAGAACTCTCCAGTTCTTAGGTGTGTCGCTGATGTCTTCCAACGACTGACTACCTAAGATCAGATATAGATTGCACGATTACTTATTCGGTACAAAAGCTCACGTCGCAGTCATGATTACAAAGAACCTTAACGCCTCATGTCACAACCAGTCAGGTACAGGAGCAGATATCGACGGAAAACAGTTGCAGAAATGGAAAATCTCCTTCCGAAGAAAGATAGCCTACAACCAGCAGAAGCAAGGTGCGGAACAGATACTCGCAGCTCGAGCTCGAGACTGTGATTGCCACTACATCCATGGCAAGTTTTGGCAATAAAACTTACCTCCACGGAGATGTTGCGAAGGGTTGTGTATAGGACACAGCTAACTTAATCTCCCTTCAAACCTTCCACAACCTTCAAACCTGCACTTTTACAAATTCCTATCCAACAAATTCCTACAACCAGGTTGGAAGGAAAGGCTTTGTATGCATCAGTGCATTAGAGGAAGCATATCCACCTCTAACTCGATCCTATGTCACAACCTCACTAACTCCTCACCTGAAATCTAAACGAAGGAGCTGGATAGAGACAAATGAGACGCAAAGAGCATCGAATCCAAGTGATCAAGTTTCTGCCCTGACTAGTTTCAGCGTATCACGGATCATCAAACTGGTTATCTTGCAGAGCATGTTAGTCAAAATTTAAAGTACTCAAACAGACAGATCATATTAACAGCGGTCCAATTTTACCCGACTTACGATTTCATGTCATTGCTCTTCTGGTCCCATGAGTATGTATACCCTCGTCAATGGCAAGTGATTGGACAATGAATGTTCAGGTTATCTGCACTCACTACGACAGCATAAGTATGTACTCATGCTTTCGTTAAGCCAACCAAATCTCGTATGCACACACGTCGAGAGAGATCACCTCCATAAATACAACCGCTAACTAGAAATTTATAAAAAGAATTCCACCAGAAAAGCAAACTTCATACGTTGATACGAAAGTTAGTGATGGAGCAATGGTGACTTGCAATTTGAATGCAGAAAAAATTGGGCACACATGAAGGTGAAAGATCGAGAAGCTCATGGCATTTATTTGCAAAGCTTTAGCTTCTTAAAATGAGATGCAACTTCGCTCCTGTGATAGGCCTTGGTAGCCAGACAAGTTGCGTAGTCTTCAGGTTGCTCAATCCATAACTTGTGCAATACTCCTGCAGTCTGAAGCTTTTGGGCTAGATTTCGCAGCTGCGTTTCGCCTTTCACCTCCAGAACCACCTTGTGCATATGGTCCAGGTTCTCTGACCTGCAGTAATGCGCAGTGAGGGGATCGTCCTTATGAAGCCAAATTGCAGCCACAGCTGCGTGACATCCTTGCGCAATGATACTGCCCAGCGGCCAGTTCTGCTCCAGCACCAGGTCCTTTCTGATCACAATGTACTGAACCAGCACGTCTTCCTTGACCTCCGCATCCGCTGCTTTGGATTGGACCGCTTCAGCATTCCCAGTGCCCGCTTCGGTCTCTGGATTCTGCATCGACAGAGATGGTAGCGAAGGCTCAAAGGCAGAAGACATGGCCGATCGACTTACACTGCTTCTCAGTCCAGAAGCCGATCGCGGTGAAGCTTTTCTTGAGAATCGAGACTCGAATTTGCTCCTGCTGCTAAATGTGGGTGCTGAGCTGACTGCAAGCTTTCCAAACCTAAATGTTCTATCACAATTCGACTCGATTACTTGCGACAGAGGGCTGGAATCACAAAAAATCTGTCCATGGGAACGAGAAAAATTATGGCGACTAGAAATCGGGAAGCCAGTCGTCTGCCCCAGAATAAAACAACCTTTATCAACCAAGGCAACTGGAGAGTGCAAACATGAGCTTGACGTTTCGACGAACGCTCTTAGGGCAGGCCTCAGATTCATGAGCAAATCCTCTTTCCAGCTCCCGGCTCTCGATCCAAACCCCTTCCTTCACTGTGTTCTTTCGTGAAGTCTTCTCTGGTGAGGAAATGCACTGAACCACTAATCGCCGTGAGAGCTCCAACGAGAGCTCGCCGAGGAATCGCTTGCGCAGGTGACGAGATTTGTATCACTCATGTAGCACAAGTTGTGCTGCACAACGTTGTGCGTGTGACCGGAGATCAGCGTTGTGCTGCACAACGCTGATCTCCGGTCAGGTAGGCAATCCTTTCCCGCCGTCCACAACACATCCTGATAGTAAGGCCTGTCGACCATGAAATTGGTCTTGGGCATTAAGGAATCTGGGACTGCAGGGGAGTCAGTGACTCTTTCGGGTATTCCTGTATCCATGGATTACGTTGTCAGTGTTTAAGGTTCTAGAAAGTGTGCAGAGATGTGTGATTACAATCCTTTCATATGACCGAGTACACTTCGACACTCTGATCAAAGGATATTTTGATTTACCCCTCCGTTTTCCACCTCGAGGTCGGTTTGTACTTCCATGAAAGTCGTGCAAAGCAGGGGAAGTGTACCAGTAGCTCGACAGAAGCTGTTCGCTTCACATCGTTCTGTTCAGCTCTTGTATTTTAAACTTCGCCGTTCATCTTTCCGTATGTTCACGCTGTCTCAAATTTCATCCTGCTCTACAAATCTTCACGAGTCACGAGAGTTTTTCTGCTGAAATGGCTTGGTCTAGGATTTAGCGAGATAAGCATACAATTTGGAGTGTCCACGATGCAAGTTCGAGACCCAGATTTATTCACTCCGCTGCCCTGTACAATGCCTAAATGTGGGCGCCATACGATGTGGCAAGGCACAAATCAGTCGAGATGCCTGCCCACAGCAGTTTTGGAGAGCCATGGTGGTTCAAAGGTCACATTAGATACATGGCAGCGTGTGAGGTGGCTGCAACATATTCATCACTTCCTTGGAGCTCTTACCATGCATGACTATGACAAACAAGCACTTAAACAAATCTTCACTTTTGCACGTAGTTATCTTTCCAGTTTCAAATGCCAAACTTAGTCCGTGGACCGCCTCCAACCGAAGGTTAGAAAGGCTCTGTCGTCCAAGGACGTACAGCACGAGCAGTTATTGTTGAATGAAGTACCATAAACATAAAAGAAAAAATATTTCTCAACCGACTCCTGAACAGGATACCATCCGAAGTCATAGAACCTACGTCCATTTGAAATTACAAAGATCATAAATGTCTACAGAAGCACAAGTCCGGATACGTGAAGTGATGTATACTGACTGAAACATCCACCTCGTTAAGATCTGAGTTTCAAATCACATCAGAAAACTGTAAAACCTTATGACACCAACAACCAAGATGTAACAAATAAAAAGAACAGATATCGACGGAAGCCTGTTTCCAAAGCCAACCAATCCCTGGCTAGAAGGTAAAACTACATCCAAGTTTGGCCATGTTTGGCCAGGCCAGCCATGATAGAAGATAAAATGTAAAAATTTCACACAGAAAGTCCCACGACGGGGATGTTGCAAGGTGGCATTTCCAGGGAGGCGTAACTCGCCCTATCTGGCATATTCACAGCAAAGACTCTCTCTTAAGTACATAATTTTCACAAGTGTACTGCTGCTTTCCTGAATCTTTCGGAGTGCAGATTGAAGGAAAACTTCGCATACATGCGTGCTTGTAGGAGCATATCCACCTCTCACTGGATTCTTTATCATAACCATCAGAAGCTGATCCAAAAACATTGGTCACCAAGACGAGAGTGCTGGATATAGACAGTGCATATGCATAGAGCATCTGATTCTACGTGACCGACTCTTCGCGTTCTCTAGATTCCGTGTAGATTGTCATCGACTATCCTCGCTGAGTATCAAGCCAAGCCTGTCTGTAACACTTCGGACCTTATGATGAAAAGGACAGATCAAACTGACTGCAGTTAAAATGTTACCCAACATAAAAGTTCCTCGGGGAGTGCTCCTGGAATCAAGTTCATGACAATAGTCTTTTGCTCCCAAAAGTATGCACAGCCATTTTCACTGGCGGGTGATTCGACACTGAATGTACAGGATATCTGCACTCAACACGAAAACAATTTCTCAGAATTGCCTATAGGCCGCAAAACTCCTATGCACCCACTTCAAACAAATAACTAGCATCGCTAAGACTTCGAATTTCATTGATTTCCAGCAAAGATCATCACTTTGATTGATAATTACAAAGTCGTGGAGTCCATGTGTAAAGGATACTACCTCCTGTCTTAGATAGGATAAACAATTGTAACAAGCAATTCCTCGATGCGAGATAGCTTAGGGCCTCTAATTTGTAACTCTTGAAGGCAGAAGAAAGGGAAAACCTTACAATTTATTCAAGACGTACAATCAAGACTGGAACCACATATGACTGCAGAAACAGACAGAGAACCAAACAACGTCTTACCCACATTATGTGTTGCTAACAAAGTATAGCAATTACAAATGACGAAGAACTTCCACTAGTTTCAATGTCCTTTGCCAGCTATATAACCAACTGATTACAAGCGAAAAAAAGTCAAAAGAAAGGACCACATATCTGAACGCATATGAAAACACCCATACAACTTCTGACTGGGGAGAGAAGGCAACGCAGCTTGGGGTAAACGTAAGAGAAAACAAGAGATAGAATATATAGGCCACCAGGAGATTCGAGGCTTTGAGAACAAACATTCAAGCTACACAGGCCTTACAACACGTTGAATCACTATGTCAAATCTACACGCGAGGAGCTAAACTAAGAATGAGCGATCTAGCCGCTTACCTCGTCGAAAGAGATCAGGATTGGCCCTTCTTGGGAAAATGGGCTGATAGCAACCGTGGGATCTCAAGAAAGTTGATTCGTTCTTTCTCGGGAAAGAGTTGCTTCAAAGTCTCATCACAAACTATTTCTCTCTTTGCCATAGGGTCCTGAACAAAAACAACATATGATATCAGCGCAAAATCCCGAAAAAATTTCCAGACAGATACAATTCTTCAGAAAATCGGTATCATCACTGCAACTCCAGTCATCACTATTCTACTTTGCGGAGCTTAACAGTGATTCTCGAACGATAACATTCCGAGAGGTCTTTGCAACTCGTCAATGCTTATAACTGTAAGCTGGGTTTAAGTACTGGCACTGCAATTCCGCGTTGCGTCAGAGGCAAGTTTTGGAAGGTACTCGTTTTTTCTTCCTTCTCGATAGGGTCCTGCACACAGGCCCTTTGCAGCACTCTGAACTGAAGAATGGAGCCTAGCCTAACTAGAGAAGCTAATCAATAATAAAAGCCATACGCTCAGCTTTAAATACTTGTCCTCCACTGAATCTACGTGTAGGAGTTATACTCCGGGCGAGAATCGTTCGTGCCGTGACGTCAACCTTCCCCCATTACGTGCTCACTCACAACAACTAAAGTCCTTGGAAGGCGATACGAGGACGTACAATGCAGGACTTGCACTACTTTGGAATTGCTCTTAGTGCAGAGGTTTATCGGGGAAAGAACGTTCGATATGAAACCCCCGGTAAAAATCAAGCCTCCTAGTGAGGAATGCCACGTCTGATCGGCTATTCACTTAGGTTTCATTCGAAGAAACTGGGTGTAACGCAACAAAAAAAAAACGGCGCAAAAACTTTCAATCAATTTTACAATCGACACTGGTCAATGATCGGAGCTACCCTTGCTATAAAGAAAAAATGGACCAGTAGCGCTTCAGCAGGAATCGAACGAGAGAAAGGAAATGGAAGCAAAGAGTTCAAACGAATCTGCTAACAGACCTGAAGGTTCTTGTCCTTAATATACGCCCAAAGCTTCTTCATCGTCTCGGTCCGACTGATTTCGGCAGTACCGACGAACTTCTTCAAGGCGGGAGAAACGGTGAAGGCCTTGGTCAGGCCGTGACTGCCCACGGCTCCCGGAGCCTTGGGCACTTTGGGAGCAGCCTTCTTCGCAGCCTTGGCGGCCGCAGCAGCTGCTGCTTTCACAGCCGGCAACACCATGGCTCCCTCGCGCTCGAGCGCCGACACGCACTCGCAATCGAAATTACACGATTTCCGATCCCAGAGGCGGAAGCGGAACGCGACCAAAGTGCAGCTCGAGGAAAACTGCTAAACTTATCACGAGCTCTACGAGCCCGGTCGAATGTCGCTAGGGCTGACTGACTGACACACCAGCGGCCCACGAGCCAGCAAGAAGACAAGAAGCGAGGCGAACGTTATGGCCCGAGGTTTTGCGAGCGAGCGAGCGAGCGCGAGAGCGAGGGAGGAAAAGGGGGGGGTTTAGCGCCCGTTGTGCGCAAAAGGAAACCCTTGGGACCCACGCCTCGGCCTTCGCAATCGATTTCGTCGTCGCAACCAAATGTCTAAGATCCGTGAACCGAGAAGCGATTTCGCGAATGGAGTGTGGTGGGCGGCTGGTTCCGAGCAAGTGGCAGCAACCATGGGCAGTGTGCACGTGGTGCGGATCTCAGTGAGCTGTGTGAAGCGATTGCCTCAATATCAGCGAGGGGGAACGATTGCAGTTTTCTTCACGGAGGAATTGGGGATACGCCGTCGAGAGGAATGCGATTGAATATAGCGAAACAGTGAGCTAGGATCTGATAACATCACGACTGGGGGATCTCGTTCGGCGTCAGATATTATGCAATCGATAGAAAATATGAACGAGTGGCATTTGAAGCCCTTATTCTATAAAAGATATCACAAACTAATTCACTGTAATATTTTCTGAAATAGACCTTTGTTCAATGGGTATAGTTAGCGCACTCTCCCATGAACATTTCAAGTGAACGTCTTTGATACCATAAAAATACAAGACCTTACATCTGGAAATCACTCGATGTTCATTAACTGAATATCTCTAACGCTTGAGGTCAACATTCGTGTAAAAATATATTTGCAATAAACTTTAATGTTACCTAAATTAAATATAGATATTATCTTGTGCCATGTACGATGTAGTAACTCTATATTAGAGCACATACGATTTGTTTTATCTGATTTACAATAATGATTTCGACATCTTTATGGTATTACTTGAATAATGTTTTTCTTGTAGTGCAGTTTAGTGTGGTTCAGTAGATTCTTAAATTTAGATGGATAAAAATCTTCTATAGTATATTTACTTCCATGATATGTGCGCACTTGGCGAGACAAACATCCCATCATGTGCAAATTTGATAACAAGTAATATCGAAAACTATAATAAAAAAATTACCGGACTTGTATATTGTTTTGCAAAAGCAAGAGAAAAGCTTGTTGTTAAGTGACAGTATATGGTGCGGTATTAATCTTCAGAGTAATACAAACTTCATTTGCCGTACAAATGAGGCCAAGATTCCACCAATAATAAAGTCACTACAAGTCGACCATAATACTGCCCTCTCTCTAGATTGGTTTCCTTCCCCCAGTTCACTCCGCTTTTGGTACGTTACCTCGGAATTCTTTGACCCGCGAGTGTGTTGGCTGGCGGATAAGGCAGTAAAGGCTACATGATCTAAACTCGCAACCAAGCAACAGGTCAGTTGATTAAGAATAACTGTGAGTAAAACTGGTTTGGTCTTCGGTGCTTTCTCCTCAGCGGTGATAAAAAGCCATCCCTTCGCTTCTAGCCTCCAGCACACGAGTAGGAAGATTATCGCCTGTTAGTGCATGTGGTATCTCCATCCCAAAGAGACTGTTGAAGATCTCAAGTGAGAGTCTCTCCAGGCATTTGAGTCGAATCATGACAAATTGCTAGTGGATAAATGTCAAAATAGGAGATGAAAGGAACAGAACACGGTAAAATCTAAACGGGAAGATATGACGATGTCAGGAGGCGTGCAATATATATCCACAGAGAAGAAAAAGATACAGAAGTGGTTAAAGTTTCTATGGTAAGAAGATACACTAGTGTCTGAGTCTGGCATGAGATGATATGCCTCAAAACGAACTGGACTATATAATCATACAATCTTCAATAGAAAGGAAACCTCTCATCAACATCCTTCGCCCAGGACTCTAAACCTCCCACAACATCTACTGCAGAAGAAAATCCTTCGCTTCGAAGAAATTGAACAGCCTTTTGAGAGTCATTTCCCCTTCTACAAACGACGTAAATGGAGGTATTCTCCCGACTTGGAACAACGGAGCTACACTCTTCTTTGCTCGACCCAACATCTTGTAAGCCTGGATATTCTTTTTCTTGAGGATTATCTGGAAAAGAGACTACGGAGTCAACCGCGGATTGCAAAACAGAAAGCCTTTCTTTCAAAAGAGAAAGAGGTATGTTCAGGGAGCTGGGCAATGAACTGATGACATACTCATGGGAGTCTCGAACATCAAGAAGTACATGAGGTTTTCCAGATTCCAAAAGTTTTTTCAACTCTGCTGATGATAATCGGTCATTTACCGGGATAAGCTCTTGCGCCTTTGGACCCTGATAGACAGGCACGATTGATTTCAATAAACTTATTGACATCTGTATGAATAAATTATCAGAAAATATCCGACGGTTTCTTTGAGATGGAACAAAGTCTATATTAATCTGTCGACATCACTGGACTGATAGAGTTTCATCCTCGAGAAACGATTTTCATGGGAATCCCATACCTCTTCAGATAAAGTTGACTCCGTGAATCGTTCGTAATCAAACTCATGGAGATTAGCAGCAGAAATTTGTGGCGCATCTCCACAAGCAAAGCAATTTGGGCTTCGGCCTCGCAGCTTAACCTGCACCACGTACATGTGGAAACAAACAGATTACTGTCTTTGCTACACACAGACTTCTCAAATGTTCCATGCTTGTGGAAAGACACATAACTGCAAACTGATTAAGCTAAGTATGTAGTTACCATGTGTATACGAGTTGAAAAAGCATCTAACAGAAGCATTCTGCTGCTTAGAGTTTCTCCGAATCCACTAGCAAGCTTGATTGCTTCTAGTGCTTGTAACGTTCCAATAATACCCGGAACTGCAAGCGATATCCATTAAAAAAGAATTAAGGATAACTGTCTTCAAGTATGACCACAGTTAGAGCAGATACTCACATACCAGAGCTTTTGATATACACTATGAGATAGTAACAGTACAAGGAATCAATCAATCCCAGATGTCTGCATATTACTTCACACGGGGCTTGCTTGTGATGTGATTCGTAAAATCAGGATATGCTACATTGAACAGCCCACGTACCTACTCCAAGCACACCATTATCCGAACATCGCTGCCGAGTCCCAGGTGGTGGAGGTACCGGGAAAAGGCACCTATAGCATGGACCACTTTTGTGGTTGTAAACACTCAGCTGCCCATCAAGATCCAGCGCAGGTCAGGGTTGCTAACAGATTTTGCCAAAACATTGAACCCAAGAATTGCGTATTTACTCGTCAACGTTAAATGATTCTTCGAACACTGGAGACTCGATAATGAAGTCCACACATGCTTTCACTAATTATGTGAATAAGCTCAATCAGTCTGGGCCGGAGAACCAACCTGTCCTTCTAATCCCAATGCTGCTCCAGAGACGAGAGGCTGCGTACAAGCCAATATATGGACCACTTTATTTAACACAGAATCAGATTCCAGCATAATTGTACCAAAATCAAACTGAAGGGCAATCATTTGTATAGTAACAGCTAGCGTATGTTGCGCCTACAAACAAACATGGAAACAACTAGACAAGAAAAAATCGTACAGTACCTTCGCAGTCGCAACACAAGCATCGCTGATGAGATAGCGAGAAGGAATGTTATCAGTTGCATCAACAACCACATCATATCTTCATGAGCTATTGTCAAGGTGACTATGAAAGCAGATACCAGTGTCCAGTACACTGAAGATCGCATATCATTTCCAGCGCGAAAAAGAAAGTTTTCGTTTCACTGGTCGTGTACTTGTGAAGAGAAAGGTTGGTTATTTTCCAAGATAATCACTGGTCCAGAATGTCAAGCTTGAAACAAAGAAGAAGCTTCCAACAAAATTTTGACCGGGTAAATCAACATAAACATTTCATATACAAGGCATTAACTGGTGATTTCCAAAGTCGCCTTTTGGCCCTCAAATTGTTTTCAACTTTAGGATCTTGAGGATGCAAACTCAGATTCCCTAAAGGAATCAGAAAGATTAGCGTATGTGAGAGACAAAACATAAGCCTCAGTGTATGGAAAAAATATTTGTTTTATAAACAAGTCTGAGTCCATGAACAGTCGGGAGCTCGCTTTTCATTGCCACAAGACCTTCAGTGCATGGAACAACCAGGTGCAATCTGAAGGTGACGAGGGGTGATCATAGGGTAACACTGCACTTTTATCCGGGTGTATCTAGAGAAAAAAGTGCACCATGGATTTACACTGCTCTATGTACAAGGAACAGACCCTGTCCTTTTATCCGAAGGATGTGTTTCTGCAATTCTATTCTTCCGTTGAATATCACAGGTTGAAACCCTTATACACGATGACATGAGTGTACCCATGAAGTTCCAACCTGGTCTCTGCAATGCTTGTTGCAGTATTACAGGGAGTTGAACATCGAAATACAAGCTTCTGAAATAATATTCATAAATTCATTCGCCCTGTGTAAAAGAAAATGCACCAGTATGTCATGAGTATTGTCTCCGGTGGAAGAGTCTGTACGCATCTTCCACTCGACCTCCTCCATGCCTATCGAAATAAAACCTTGAAAAGTTGTATCAATTCGTGGTACCTCTGAATATAACACTCCTCAAATAGGTGTCCCGGTCTAAGGCCGTAGATGTACCCTCGAGCCGCTGATCATCCACGTATATCGGCTCCATGATAAAGATACACCACTTTCTTCTCGGATATCTGAGCGACTTGAATGATGGGCGGTAGGAATTTTGTGGTTCACCTGCTCTCACACTTTAATCCCCTTGAATAAGTGCGGAATCGTTGCTGTACGACTTTATAAACTTCAGGATTTTCATTCGGTTTTCAAGAAATTTTTCTCCCGCTTGATTTTGGGATTGTTCCAGACGCACCAGCATGTCACAGAGGACAGAAAACTTAGGTATAAAATGGCATTCTGCTAAGAGAACAGCCACAAAGTCTTCGTACTTGCTGTTTAGACTAAAGAGAGCCAAGAGCACAAACTCTTCTTCAGCATACGTAGCATCATAGCGCACAAGAGCCGATCGAAAACTTTCTATGACTAGGAGGTGATCATTCATTGTCGCACTCTCAGCCATCTTGAGACCGTACAGCTTCTTTTTCAGCTTAAGAACCTCGAGAAAACTGTTAACTCCCGACGCAGGAGGTTGATCTGCATCAGCCATCATTGCGTATTCCCCACCCACTACTGGCGATAGTAAACTTTCCTTGAATCAACCCCAAACGTACTAAATTGCACTTTCTCGACTTCGATAGAAAGCTTTTCGATACCTGAATTTGTGGTGTGCTGTAACCCACCATGTCTCCACAGTACTGTCAACATGCCAAATCCAGCCAGTAGATTTCTTCTTGAAGGTCACCTGCACCCTTCCTGATATCCGATCAAGCTATCGAGTCCCAACTCAGACTGAAACAAAGATCCCAACGATCCCCCAACACGGTTTCGAACTCAGTTCGAAAATCAAAACCGACACCCTCAGCGGCCCAACGTCAGAGCATTCGAAGTGATTCTCACTCGTTTCTACCTTTTCGACAGCCTCCCGTTCATTGTTTGGAGGCCACTTGGTGGGAACGTACTTAATTAGAAAGAAACAAAAAAGGTGGCCCCTCCATTATAAAGCTACCACCGTCAGCGACGGTCCTGTAAGCGTCGACCCTCCAAGTCACCCCCACAGCTGTACTCTGGACAGCAGGGTTCAATCCCGCTCCTTACAGCGAGTTGGGGTGAGAAATTCTGACTTAATTGACGATGAGATCCGAGAAACTCACTCTCAATGAAGCTCGTATACAATTTAGGGCTAAGGCTAGCGAAAAGTACGGGAAGCTGCACAGTCGAGGAGGCTAAATCAGACCTGCCTATTCCTGGTGTCGAATTCTTTGTTTGCCCGCCTGAAAAAGACTAGACACATCTTTTTGGCTATTTACCTGGCATCCCTTTTACTTCCTCGCCTAAATTAGGCGAGGAAGTAAGGCAAGCTAGCATGATTCTGACAACTCTCCTAGAACACTCCACAGAAATGAACAGATTAAAGGGGTGTTGTCAATTCTTTCCTTTAGCAGAATCTGTTGTCCACAGACTTTGCCCGCAGAATTGACCTCCCTCTAAAGATTCTCAACCAGCAGCAGAAGTCAGCAACAGGCCGGAAAGAAGCCGTAGATATTCCGAAAACACATTGAGTGAAGTGGTTAGTTTTTCATTTTGTCTTCGTGAGGTTTTAATTCACTCGTGGAGGCAGGACAAACACCGCCGAATGCTAATCAGGGCTTCGATTCAGCTCTAGAGGTTTATCGATAACACAAGGTTGCACAAGGGGGCACGAATTCAGCACCAATTCTGAGTGCAGAATGAAGGTCGAGACAAGGTCACAGAATACTAATTTACATAGCTGCATTATTCTTAGTTTAACTTCCTTAAAATTCGTTTAGGATACTGGCTGATAATCTCCACTGCATTGGCAGCATTCAGTCCACGGCCATGTTCCTTAACGAGTATAGACGAATTCAACCTGCGAACAAGGAAGACTTTATGACAAAGTGGTGACAAAATCCTCAAAGATATCGGAAACCAAATTCACGACAAATTCAATAAAAGCGTCAACCATGAGCATCTAGGAACGTCTTTCGAAAGATCGTCAAAAGCACAAGAAGGTGGCTTACGCTAGGCAGGCAGATGCAGCGGAAGAAACCTTCGGCTGGCCTATGAAGGCCTCTGTGTGAATAATCTGAATCAAAAGACCATCCAGTTTTGATCGACTAGTGAGGAATCTTGTTGAAAAGAGACTCTGATATACTACGAAGGTCTTGAAGTGAGTCCTCCACGATGTTGCAAGGTCTGTACGAGAAAGCACATATTCTTTCATATACAATTCTTCTCCATCAAATTATGAACAAACTAGTCCCTGATGACGTCTGAATACAGTTACCAATCCAGAAACTAGGTAATGAAATACCTGGCGATGAAGATTGCTCAGCTCCACTACGTCGCTATCAACTAACCCTAGTCGTCCTGCACGTAAACGGCAACATGAGATAGCACACACAAACGAGAGAAGTTTTGAAACAATCGAGCAAAAAACCTGCATGTTCAGAATCTGAACTTATGTGAGAAAGACTAAGCAACTTCAAAGACTGCACTGATATTCTGCATCTCACAAAGAGCTGACAGTGTAAGGAAGTTAGGAGTCGAGTGTCAGAACATACTTCTGCACTTACATACAATCATCTGAAAATATGCTTCAATGATATTTACACACCGTAAGTTTCAAATCTTGGTTACACTGAATTGCTCAGAAAAGAGTGATCCATGTTTAACCTAGTTTACCAGATACGGTCTCAACCAAATGGATCAACCTGTAGGTGAAAAAATGACAGGAAAAGATCTAAAATTGCTTCACCGTTTAACCCTCCATTGAGCAAAGTGACCATCATGTGGGTAAGGAGCACGTACCAACTCCAGAAGCAGCTAAGTACGACGAGATTGGTGAACCAAGCCCTCCCATTCCGACTATAAGTATTGCAGATTCCGACAGTTTTTTTTGACCTGAACGATGATCCATTGCAGTCTGATTGTCATCAAGCTTGTCAAAGCTATGGAAGCAGAAACAATGTTCACTCGAAACTAGCAGCACGCATGCAATTACAAGCACAAAATAGATAAATGGAACTACATTGATACTGAAATCCGATTTTTTAGAACGCATGTAGGACTGTGAGCACAACCCATGCGCAAATGGACCAGCCCTCGTCAGTTTCCACAAACCCTAAATCAAATTTGGTTGTGAATCCACGATATGTGTCGACTTGGAATCATATACATTTGGGCGTCGGACAGAATACCTGAAACTCCGAATGAGGGCACTAGAAGCTGCCTACTGTAGCGACGAATGAAATCGGCACCCATCGAGTGCCCGGAAGAAAATACACCAGCGGCACAGCTACCGTTCTCCATTCCACAACTTCCCAATCTTCTATCTTCCTGCTTTTTAGCTTCTGGATCCTGAGACTTCAAATCTCCTTCCTTCTGTTTGGTATTCTTCGTGAATTGCTGCCCTTCAGGTTCACGACACTGTGCTTCGCCGTCCAGGTCTGATTTACACCCTGCAACAATATCTGCATTCTCGGCCTCCTCTTCTCGCTCCTGAAAAGCGAGTTGCTCCCTAAACTCCCTAGCTTCCTTCCTGATCCTAGCAAATCTCGAAACCATCTCTTCCCGTACTGATTCCTTCTTAAGCTTCGAAATCCTCCGCATAACAACGTCTTCTTCATCCATCTCCCCCATTTCTTCCTCCTCGAATGTACACAAACTTTCTCTCTCTTCTCCGGAGCTCACAAATACCAACAGAACTTGATTCGACGCTGGTAACAGAGTTTGAGGGCGACAAGCACCCTGATTTTCTCAGCTCCTTCGTCCAGCAGATCTGGAATCTCAAGCGTCCGTATTCGGAGGAAAAAACTGAGGCCAAATGTCACTGCAGAGTTCTTTCAAGTCTTGGATATCCACTGACGGTCCTCTGCTTAGTAGCTGCCAGTTTCACCACAAACCTGTGTTAGACTATTCAGTCATCACACACCGAACGGAAATAAGACAAACGTTTGACTCGAAGTCCTTCCGTGCTGTTGTCGCTCGGGGCAAAAGACAGAGTAAACCCGCTAGCAGTCGGTACAACATCCGGCCACCCACTCCGTGATGAAATCCACCCCCATAGCTAAAAGTCTTTCAGCTCTCCGCAGTAGCGGAAAGCGGCAATGAAATGGTTCCTTACAACAATTCTTCCAACAATTATTGCTAGGCCTAGCCAAGTGTCCCACCCTGCAATGCCTTCCAGATCCCGGAGGAGATTCGACTGAAACTTCACATCTTTGTGTTCGCCAAGAATAGGCCCACAAATTTACTGCGAAACGAAAAACCGAAGCAAAGCGTGCCTTCACACCTCATTCTCAACTCCAAGTCTAACTCCCGGACTGCAGTTCACACACACTACGACAAAACCTCAATTGTAAACCCTGAGTACTCGAGCAGAGCAGCGTGCGTAGGGTTTAGCACTCGTGGACGAGAAATCATGGTGCACGCACGGCGTTGTGCATGTTGCCTAGATCAGAAGCCTGACAAGCTCAACAGACGAGATGGCGCATGCTAGACATTCTAGAGCGCCGATGCCTCCATCTAAATGTGACGGGGTGGGACAATGGATCCATCGAACCTTCTCGAAAGATTCGCAGAACATGGGCTCGAAATGACTCGGAGATCAATTCTACAGATCCCTCGTAAACCAAAGCGTCAATGGGGTAAGTTTCATCTTCTTGTGAGGTGCTTACGTTCTGCTGAAGCTCGTCCTCGACAATTGTTTGGCTCCCCGACGTCATCCGGAGACTCGACTGCTCAAAGCTCTACGGTGTACAGCCTCTAGCTTTTGCAAAGTGTGAAACTAAAATCACCAAATGCCCAGATTAACCAATGCAGGTGATAAAGAGTTGTCCGAATGAGAAACGCAGGCCAAGTTCATACATAATCTCAACAGTGTCCGATTTTAGGATGAGTTCAACCAAAGGAGCCATCAATCAGCCATTTTCACGACTTCAATCTAAAATGCAATCTCCGGAAAGGACGTGCAGAGATTAAGCTGGATTTGAACGGTGTTTACATCTTGCCTCCTTGCCAGGGAGGAGTGCGAAATATGCTCAGTCGAACAAGCGGCAAACATTTGGGTTGTTGCTGCTGCTCCACAGGGTATCAACATACACGTGCAATGTGGACTTGTGTAGATTCAATGGATGCTAGGCAGTTGACAGGGTCTGCGGCGGCACTGAGCAGCGGGCCGTACTACTGCACACCAGCCGTTCTCATCTCGTGCAAAGCAGGATCTATCGATCGATCGCTGTTAAGCGCCTGGCAAATTCAGAGAGATTCCCTACTCAAGATTGATGCCTAACAAGTTTATCACACACTACCATCAAGCAGAGTGCACTCTGGCCTAGCTCCGAGTTTCAGATTACCATGAAAACTTTTGCGTGCGCAGGGCCAGCTCGTCTCACGCCGAGTGCTGCTCAGCCACGAGCTATAAATCGAGAGTGGCTAGGACAACAAGTGTTTGCGACGGGTATTGTGGCATCCATCAACTGAAGACGTCAACTTCACACGGAAGAGTAGATTCTTCCTCGAAAGTACAGAAACGCCTGCAGTTCCTGGCGTGAGTGCCCATTCTGCAAGCGTCCGAGGGTAAGGGGGGGTCCCACCTGTACGGACCTCGAAGTGGTCAAGAGCCCCAGGAGACCGACCGACTTTTGGCATGACATTCTCTACTGCTACAAGTCGCCGCTTCCCAACAGCAGCAGCAGCAGCGGCAGAATGTCTCGATGCATCATCATCATTCTAATCAACAGCAATGCACGATCAGTCCCATGGCTTCTACACTTTGGGCCCTTTTGATACGTACGTCGAAAAGGATTTATTTCTCCACGCAGAGTTCTGCAGAAAGGAGAAGGCCGAATTGGCAGGCGCTGGAATCCCTTCACGACGAGTCCAAAAGTAGAAAGACGTAATTAATTCATCGATCATCAAGCTTTCACTCAGTCGTGTACACGATCCGTCATGATTTATATATGTACATGGATTGACTTCCAAAGATTAGTAATCAGGACAATCAGCGCAGATACTGACGGTTGACGGCTCCCACAGACTTCTCTGCAGAGCACTTCCTTCAACGCAGGACGCATTCATTTGACATCCTGCGCGGAAGAGTGAGCGCAATCCATCGAAGGCACCGTCGGTCAATATGGAAGCTACATCAATCTCTACTTTTCTCTTCTCTTCTCTTCCCTTCTCTACAGCATAATCGGTACAATCTATACATCCTGCGTCGGATGGAATGAATCTATGACCTAGACGACGTGCGGCCTCTCATCCGTGCGGTGTGTTGGGCGATTTGGCGCTGGACGGCAGAAAAATCTGCAGAGCGGAGGTGTAAGTGCCGTAGATGGAGAAGAGAACACCGCAGATGATGAGCGCGAAATCTCCAGCTCGCACAAGAGGGCCGGACGAGTCCCAGAAGACTTGCATGTGGAGAAGGGCCGGAACGACGAAGGCGAGCATGGCGCAGACGGTGCTGCCCACGAGCGAGATGAACACGCCGAACCCCGGCACCATGACCGCCACACAGGCGATGCCGAGGACGATCAGCCCGCGCACGGCGTTGCACCCGACCGTCTCCAGCACGGGGCTGCCGGCGTGCTTTTGGAACCAGCTGCTGCGAAGCAATTTGCGCTCGAAAATCTCGTGCACCGGGTACAGCATCACGGGGAAGGTGAAGAAGAGGCCGACGCTGAGGCCGAGCTTCACGGCGATGGTGGTCCAGTCGTTGGGCAGGTTGAGGGTGATGATGTCCTGCGTCTCGTCGCCGTAAGCGAGGTAGCCGATGAATCCGAACGAGAGGTACAAGGAGGTGATGAGGATGAAGGCGATGCCGAGAGTGCGGCCGAATTGCTCCGGCTTCTTCATCGACGAGTGCAGCGTCAGGGTCATGCCGAAGCCCTCGTAGCAATAGATGGCGACGCCCATGGCGAACGGCATGGCGCTCCAGCTCGTGAGCGCCTTGATGTGGTCCAAGCCCGCGACGTCGCGCACGTCGTCCTTGACCACGATCGCCATCGCCAGGACGTTGCACACGTCCGCGAAGATGCTGAAGGGCGCCAGCCCCGCGAGCGAGCGCACCCACGCCAGCAGCACCTCGAGCGGGAAGAGCAGCGCGATCACGAGCCCGTACTGCGCGACGTCGCCCGTGAACGCGGACGCGACGTTCCTTCCCACGAAGATCATGTACGCGACGCAGCATCCGCTCTGCGAAATCAGCACCATGACGTCGACGAATTGGCGCCCCCAGTTCCCGAAGGCCGCGTCGCCCAGGTCTCCGTACGTGTGCACGAATCGATGCCCTTGCTTCTGCAATTGCTCCCTGCATTTCACCTGCCAACGATCCCACGACGGCGCGGCACGAGCATGAATACGGCGCTTCGACGGGATCATCGACCGCGACGGGACAACCAGAGAACGAGGCAATGGCAAGAGCGGACTGACTAACGGAGACGATCCAGTCACATGAAGCATGGACATGAACATCCACGGCTCCGATCCCATGCACAATTCGAGCTCTGGATGTTCATGTTTATGTTCATGATCATGAGAGTGGGGCACCGCGTCGACGCTCGAAATTCGCTTGAATTTCGGTTTGAAAATTTGAATCCGACTCGATGCACGTTGCGACAAACAATATCAAATGAATTACCAGATGCATCATGCAGTAGTAGCTGAGAATGGCGGAGCCCGTGACGCAGGCAGCGGAAACGGCCCAACCGCTCGTTCGAAATGTGTAGGGGAGGCCGAGGACGCCGGCGCCCACGATCGAGATGATGATGTTGAAGTAGGTCTTGAAGGTCGAGGCTCTCCCGGTGCCCGCCAGCCCCAGCAATGGCGTCTCCTCATTGGCACCGCCGGCACCGCTCGCTGCACCTGCTCCGCCTCGACCCATCTCCCCTCTCTGCTCTGCTCTGCTCTCGTTCACAAACTGCGGCTGCTACTGTCCCCGAATACGATCGATTGTTCTCAGATCCGGCAACGCGTCCATGGATTGGAGAAAGCTTCGATACTGTCTGTCTATCGATTCTCCTCAGCATGTATTTTCTCGTCCATCCGCTTCTCTCGAACGTGAGGCGCACTGCTGCTGCTGCTAATCTCCTCTCCTCTCCTCGTGGTCTCGGTCTTCTCTTCCATGCAGCAGTAAAGTGTCTCGGATGCTGATTCACCAGCTCGCGTATTCCTCCTCTCCTGCTGCAAGTCCTCACTCTGCCTCTACATTCACGACGACGAGCGCCGATTGTTTATGCGTATTCTCGTCTCAATTTGCCCAGAATCTATCTGCCGGAGACCGGCTCAAAGTCTAGGGCGATTATATCCGGCATTTGTGTGAACCACCACCCTTGCGCTCAGGCCAGTCTAATGTTAACTCGAGAATTCCTTCCTTCCACTGATGGGCGCTGATTCAAGCCCCACCCACAGCACCGCTCAGGTTCAAACTGAGCGAGGTCTTCCTCGATTAGAGTTTCTGCTGAAGACGTGCAAACGATAGTTCGGGAGCTCTTACGATGCCCGAAGTCCACTGCCGGATGTAAGAGCGGTGCTGTATTCCCAAAGGTGTCTGCAGCAACAGCAGGTGTGAACCGATGATACAGACAATTCAGATCACAACAAACCTCGAGAGTCTGTCACGTCAGTGCAAGAGACTACTCGAGGCGGATGACGGTGGCGAGGAGTACCAGCGTCCCTTCACGGGACAGCAACAGCATGAATGTGTATCTCACTCCGAGCTGGGACGACAATTGGCGAGTCTTCTCGGCACTAATCACGTCAGCGCAACGACAGGACACGCGAGAGACCTGCCGACCGACCGACCATGCATTCGTCTCCCAGGCCCAGGCAGCGGGGAGTGTGCAGTAAATATGGAGAAGGCGAGCAAATCACTGGGAAGAAGCCTCGGAATTAGGAAGGACTGTCTGCCAAAGAAGGGAACGAACTACTGCGCAGCAGCCACCACGGTTGCATGTCCTACATCCTTCATGCCCTTATTAATAAGATCTCAGTGATGGAAACGTGGCCTCCATATCCTCTTCTGCCCAAGTTTAGGTTCATTGCACCCACCCAGTTTATGGCCTGCCAGGGCAACACTCTGTCGTTCCGGGATCCACACCTGCTCTCCGGGCTATGATGCCCCAGTTTATTCATCATGCTCAGGCATAGTTCTAGCGATGACGAATTTCTAGGCCTTTTGCTGTACCGCCACGTTCTCCAGGCTCTTAGACGTACCCTGCAACTGTTCGGTCGCGTCTAGCCCTATAGCTTCATGCAACTAATCAAGTGATGCGAATATTTGGCTTCCATTGTTCCATTGGCCATTGTAAAGTGCTTTCGTCTAACTTCGATGTACGTTCTCTTAGACTCCTACATGGATTAGTTCTTTACTAGTGGAAGGTATTGCTATAATCAAAGAAGGATTTGCCGTATTTGACTGGCCATGTCATGCACAGCAGACAGTTTAACTTTAATGTACGAACATCATCTTCGCCGCGTTTTCCTAACTTTTCATTCGCTTCAGTTCCTAGGGATCACAATCGTTGGGCATCGAAGAGGCTTGATAATTAATGATTGCATGAGAAGGAATTGAGGGAGTGTTGTGGAATTAGTTAACGCTGAAAATGTATACAAGATCAATAAGAATCGAATTTATTGGTAAAATGTATTTGTATTGGAATCTGACACCCTGTGTCAGATTCCAATCGTTCACTGCATGACATTAACACAATCATGGCAAAGAAGTAGGCACTTCTATAACTTTTCAGTTTGATCTGGTTTCACATGCCAAACTTGTCGTCTAGATGACTGACCTTCAGAGAAGTGTGATTACTTTACTACTGCAATTAAGGACCTCGTGTAATTACCTTCATAGGTCTTCAGCATGTATATATACAAAGGCATCAAGCATGCACTCTGAATCGTTGCACTCACCTTTCTGCCTCCAGATAATGTACTTTCTTGTCTCTTCATTCTTCAAGAGGGGAGCATGACTTGTCACCTTCGTCACCAGCATGATGGAGAAGAGAAGTGGTAGGGTAATCACATATATGCGAATTATGCTGATCCCGTGATCTTATGGGGACAAAGAAGAGAGGTTTGAAGATTGTAGGAGATAGAAGTAAATAGATCAGAGATAAGTGGGTATGGACTTCAAAGCAAACATGGACCACCGCCCTAGAGGAGGTGTGTCTGACCGCCAAGGAGGACTCGACAACTTTGCCATTATCCACATAAATCAGCATATCAGGTCATCGGGCTTATGATACGCGAAGATCCTGACAAATCACAAGTGGGCATGCAAGCTCGACCAACTGACTTCGATCCAAATTTAGGCACAGCAGGAGCACAATGACCAATGTGGATGAAGTTCACTTCTCCATGAGGTGTTCAGCTCCGAGATGCTGAACACTTTCTGGCTCAAAAAGTTCCCAATAAAGCGTGAACTTTGGTCTCCAACAAATGATTTTCAGGGACGAGTGTGAGTGCTTGCTCTGGTGTCCTGCATGCAGCGAAAAACCTTTCGGGCTCGTGAAATGGTAGAGCACATGCGTTCGACGGGGTGTGAAAATTCTTCAAGTCTACAAGTCTTCTCCCATGAAGCTCGTCGAAACATTACTGAAGCACTGACTGGCTACTGTTGAACTGTGACTTGGCAGCTCGAGCCATGTCAAAAAAGATGGAGAGCGGGGAGGGGATCTTTCTTTCTGTTCCTCGAGACCTGTGCTGACTTGTGCCGCCGCTACTAAACAAGCATGTCCTTTCACAGCTCCATCGCCAGCAGTTGGCGAGCAGATTTTGGCTGTTGGCATGGCAGTTTGTTAGCCGCACGTCCGGGCCACTTTTAGGGACTTTACAGTTTTCTTACCTCGAAAATATGCCTGGCAACAGCATTGCACAAAACCATTATAGCTTATGGAATAGTCTGTCACCTGTCAACAGAAACTGTGAGGAAAAGCCCATGAAGATAGAGGCGGCCAAGTAAGTAGAAAAAATGAGAAGGCCCATCAACAACTACAAGCAAGAAAACAGACAAAACTGGATTGAATGACATAAAATACTGATAATCTACAAATTAAGTGTATGCAAAGAACGCAATCATTTCCTGCTTGTACAAGATCGAGTTGGTGGATATGGACCCTCGACCGAGAGACATGAGGTAGATAACATGTTTCCTCAAGAAGAATTGCATAAGAAGTTTGGGTACTCACACCCAATTCTTCTTGTAAGAAAATCTTTTGCACCCTCTCCAAACGCTGCCAACCTGTCTTCTTACAACCAGGACCCCACACTTGTGTTCCATATAAGATAACGGGAAACACTAAGCTCCTGAATAAGAATTTCCTAAGACTCCAAGACACTAGATGAGCTCCTCTACATCTATTTAGCAATGAATATAGAGCTTAAAACCAGCTTCCACTTTCTTTTGCACACAAAGTGCCAACTATAACGAGATGAGAAATCAATGACCAAATATTTGTAACTTTTCACTTGTTCCAACTCTAAAACTTTATAACACAAAGAAAGCTTGAATCTAGTGCCCACAAGAATGACTTTGGTCTTCTCCAAATTGAACTCCATCTGATTTTGAGTACAAAAGCTAGTCAAAGTGTCAAGATGTTTCTGTAAACTAATGGCATCATGTGCTAGTAATATGACATCATCTGCATACAAAAGAGCTTTGATGACAAAGCCTCCAAGTTTAACATCTTCGCTATCACAATCCTCCAACCACCTTTCTATATCATCTATGAAAACTCCAAATAGACTAGGAGAGAGAGTATAACCTTGAATGACTCCAATGGTGCTGATAATCTCTTCGGTTTGAGAAGTGTTGATCTTGGCCCGAACTGAGTGGTATAATGTAGCCACCGCTGCTAAGAGATACGATGGTACTCCAATGGTTTTCAATCTTTGCCATAAAAGCTCACGAGGTATTGTGTCAAAAACTTTCTTGAAATCAATGAAGGCACAAAACAAAGCTTTTCCATTACCCTTGGATTTCTCCCATATAACACGTAAAACCAAGATATGGTCTATAGTGTTGAATGTAAGACGAAAAGCAACTCGGAACCGCGCTCTCTTCTGACAAGATTCAGCCCATGTGCTCAACTTTGACTCCATCAGTTTGCCAAATAACTTGGCAAAAATACTACCCACCATGATAGTGCGATAGTTTGTCACCAAGGCCTTGCTCCCAGATTTGTGAATAGGAACAATCTTCCGTAGAGACCAAGATGAAGGAAAGTCATAAATAGCAGCATACTCTAACACTTTCGTGAGTATAGGCCCAATAGCATCTCCTCCCCACTTGAAAACTTCAATGGAAAGCTCATCCAAATCCTCACATTTACCATTTGCCAATTGTCTGAGTTGAGTCATCACTTCAACTTCTGAAAATAAGCGTGGATTTCCTTCACAATGTGGCATTGATGCAACATTGGGAAAAAAATATAGCTATTCAGCAAAAGAAATCAAAGACTTGGGATCAAGAGTAGGTTTAGAAGATCGTACTGCCAACCGCCTCCAAAAGGATTTGGGATTCTCCAAGAGCTACTTTGTCAAGCACTCTTGCTTCTGCCTCAGAAAAGCTCATTTCCTAAACTTCACCAAGTCTTTGTAAAGTCTTGTCATAATCAACCGATTATGAAGATCCAAGGATTTATCAAGTGATCTCGCCCTCGCTTGCTTGCAATCAAAGTCAAACCATCCATTGCAAGGAATACCTCTAGCTAATCTGGTCTTATGTCTCAAAAAGAACTTAGAAGCAGAGTTTTGGAGCAACTCGGTTAGTTGCAAACTAGATGTATGTAGATCAAGTCTCCAAGTAGTACGAGTCAAGATGTCTTGGAAATGTTCACTATAAAGTTGCTTCTTACTAGCATCTAAACAAAACTTGGGGAAGTAGAAACATAGTGACATGTAGAGAGAGGGATTGAAGTTGACAACAAAAGAGTAAATAAAAGAGGTGTATGATCTGATTCTGGTTGAGGCTCTAGAATATCAAAAGCTCAGATAAATGAACTATTAGTGGCAGGACAAAAGATAATCTATAGTGCTAACACCAGTAGAGGAAAAACATGTATTGGAGTGAGAGTTGGGAAAGAAAGAAACGTCATTGAGAACTTTCAGATTACAAGTGGCTCCAAAAGTCAAGAAATGCTCAGTCAAATCATTTGTACAAGGATCACAAGAGACTCTACACCACAAACTATCTCTACTTTCTTCAAAAGAGGGAGAAGACAAGGAACTATCAAATTGTGTAAATTGAGCAGAATGTATGCAGGCATTGAAGTCTCCAACAAGGAAAATTTCACCTTTGTCTTGATATTTGAGAACATCTCCTATGAGTCGATGGAATGGTTGACTTCAATTGCAAGTGCTTGTGGAGTAGATCTGCATGGATAATGGTGCAAAGTAACAAACTGCCAAATAACTGTAAGATAATCCAATCAATCCAAAACAAAGCCAATGATATTGTTTCCCAATATCTTGGCTTTTCAAATGTATTATAGGAAGAAGTTCAGATCTGATGAAAGTAGCAATGACTCCAAAGCCTCATCCTGCTCGTCGATTTCTATGGTTGCAAGTAGATCCCACCAGAGTAAACCCTTGTATCTCTCCAATAGCATTACTTTCATGCTCCCAAGTCTCAACAATGTTGAGGATGTCCGCCATCTTCCAAATCGGATGTGCACTCACAAACTTAGTTGTAGATAGGCCTCTTATGTACCACATCAACACCTTCAACCTCTTGAATTGCTAGGTTAATGATTGTCTCCTCCTCTTAGTGATAATAGCTTGACTATCACGTAGATAAGCTACAAAACCTGCATCTTGAGCTTCTTTGACTTTTGCAAGCTCCTTACTCCTTGCTTCAACTTGAAGAGGTGTAAGATCTTGATCTAACCAAATCCTCAGTCCCTTGAGAATAGCCTTGTTAGCTAAAGTCATATCACGTTGAGCTTGATCCACAAACTTAACAATAATGGCACGAGGTTATGCGCCTTTGTTGCCAATACGATAAGCTTGAGCCAAATCCGGTTAAGGAACATCAAGTGTTTCAGTCAAGAACTTGGTGACCACACTCTTCGCCTCTTCCTTCTCATATTCAAGTAGAGCCGAAATCCTCACATTCTTCATACGAGCAAATTGATTAGACTTTTCAATCTTTTGCTCTTGATAGAAAGAGATATGAGTAGACTTGGTAACTTCAGCATAGTACTTCATTTTCACCTCTAGAGTTTCAACCACTTCATGCAAAGCAGGAGTAGTAACAGTAGAAGCTTGAGAACTAACCTTGTCTTGAATGTCCTCAACAGATCCAGAGATTTGGAGCATGATCTTCTCAAAACTTTTGTGAGAAATCTTCAACTCCCGGATTTCATTCTTTGCACCAGCCAAGGCAACGTTTCGTGCCTTGAATTCTTGGCGTAGCACTTTCAATTCCTCCAAACCGTTTGCACAAGATTGAGAAGTTTGTTTTCAGAATCCATCATGAACCCAACTTTGCAAGATGTTACACAAACTCAAAGTTTTGAAAAGAAAACTTCTTGACAGCAGCTCCGTTGAGGCTGAAAATTTTCACCTATGTGCGCCCGGCCGTCGTGAACAAGCACATTAAATCTTAGCTCCTGTTAACACTCCAGCAAGAAGATATGGCCTCCGCAAGATTCATGCTCAAACCCCTAAACTCAAAGTTTTGAAATCAAAGTTTATAGAGGAACCGTAGTGATTGTGAGGCTTTTGGCACAATATGGTTTGAGATAAAAAAAATATATAAATTACTAGACTTTAGATCATTAGAATATTGATATGGTACAAGAAGTCACTTACTTATTACATAGATTTCTCGTACTACCTCTTTGATTAATTTCATCGCCATGGCGATGGATAAAAAATATTTACCCGGATCGAAGACGCGCGACCAACGGGTATTGGCCTCTCCCTTATCGGATCTTCATGCCGATGAAGATCCGATAACTGGCAGATGAAACACCCTTGAGATTCAAGACGTGCACCATTGTTCTGGCAGAGATGTATCGAGGTTGACGGCTAGCGAGTGGGTCTAGCATCGATCTACGAATGAAATGAGTTAGTTATTTGACATGGAGTTCAGATGCGGGAGTGGAGAGCTTGTGTTTACAGCTGGGGAGAATTCTCAATGGTCTCTAGCGTAACACAATTGGAAATAAGTAACTGCAGTTGAGTGCCAGATGTTTCTTGAATCTCGCATCAGGACTGCGAGGAAATTGCGCATCTAAACTCGAGTCTTTAACACTACATTACGCGTGGGAGGACTCGACTTCGGCCCTTCGGTCGTAGAAGTTTTCTTTGGACTTATTCGGTCCTAAGAACTTCAGATTATAACAAATATATTGGCATGATAGTAATACATGTTTTTGAGATATAGGAAGTGACACATTTTTTTAATATAGTCAGTAGTTTTACTATATGATTCATATTATTTCATGCTTAATCTAAATTATTTTCACCCTTACATGTGTGAATATGATGACACTAACATTAATAATGTATAAGATTGAACATATTCTCATGTTTGTTTGAAAATGTATGATGAGACTTGATAAATCATGATGCAAGGTCAAGCTAAACTACAAAAACCTGCATTAGGATTGAGTGTATGAGATTTTCAATTTTTCATGAATATCATCAATTAAAAATAATTTTTCATCAAGATAGAATCTAGACTTGTTGTCCAATGGAAAAAAATGCATGCTCAAATTGTCGGCTCATCAAGTTAGAACTATAAGTATGTAATCCAACCCAACAAAATGAGAACAAAATTGGAAATGTATTTCTTATATCGGCGTTCGGGTTACTACCTTCCAAGAAACATATCGTTCATCTTGGTAGCTTGCATACATCTCAGAGATGAACCTCAATGCAATCATAATTTGAGAACACAACAAAGTTATCAACCATGAATATCAAACCCAAATTTATATATTTCATCTCCTTTATAAAGATAACATTTCACGCCATATCTACTAAAAAGTATTAACTTGTTAGAGGAAGAAGGATCTTAATTCACTCAACGTTCACATGTGATAACCATGATACTCTGATCAAATTTATAATACGATACCTCATGTTCCTGTTTCTTTGAGTTTCATTCTTTAATTAGTTGTGACTTCCTCGCCCTCTTCATGTTAATTGGATTGTTGTATCGTATGCATCCGGCCACGTTCTGAACATCCCGAGCCCTTGACATAAAGCTATGGTATACCTAGTGATCCATATTAAGTGTAGATAGGTCATAAGTTCTTCAATAATGACACGAGTATGATTCTATTATACGAATTACAGCGCTTTTACTTTGTGGTCTCATAAGCACAACCGGACACTATGTTTACAAGTCTTGAAGTGAGTGAAAACTGCTCAGTAAGATGTTTTCCCATTGGGATCTTCTCGACGAAAACTTATTTCCTTTAAGATGGTTACATATCCGATGTAAAAGATAAGAAAGGTTGCCACAACTACAGCTGGGCTCTTGGATACTCGACTTGTAGGACTTTTCCACATGTTGTCCAAGAACTACGTATCGCACTTTTGATGCCACTTTTGAAAAACTAACGTTGGAGCAAAGAGAGGTTGGAGAAACTAAATGCGATGGCACGTGAAAGCAAGGAAATGTAGAACAACTACTATAGTAAACTCAGTGCAAACAACTTTTTCGAGGTTACTGAGGAGTTGCTTACTAGTGCCTGGAATCGTAGTGAAGGTGGATAAGGGATGAACCCTACCTATATCATTAAGAAATACAACGTAATATTGATGGAGCATCAGGTAAAAAAGGCTAGAGATAACAATGGGTTTATGCAGATGAATTACAGGTTACAAAATCAATGATTCCTCTTTATAGGCTTTCCCCTGGGTGTACATGTGGCCCCGTCTTTCATGAAACTTGGTTAACAATTAACCGTGAGTAGAAATAGAAATGCTCGCCCAACAAAACATAGATTGCCAAGAATTGGTCTCAAAATTTCTACCAATACTAGATTGCTAAGTGAATTGAGGAAGGTGAATTTCTATGATCTTATAAACATAGTATCACTTATGCAAATGAACTTTTGTCCGTCTCATTTGAGCTTGTTACCTAACTGCTAGTAAACGTAACTACAATGTGACATTAGATCCGATCACTGTGGCACTAGTTACCTCTCCGTAGGATGAGGTTCAGTCTAAGACTTTGTACACCTAGCTGCATTTTAGTTTATTATATCTTTATTTTGAAAGTGTTCTTACTCTACGTGATTTCGAAAATTATGTGCCTGAACAGACATTTTGAATATAGAAATAATCACTATGTCTAATTTTCACTGTGTTGTCAATTTACAAGCAAGAAGAATCATATGATTCAATATACTTTTGGATATAGAGTGTACATCTTCACAATGATGATGTAAACATATACAATTAAGAAATGGACAATAAAGAAACTTCTCGTGGCCAGGACAATAAAATTATCGAGTATTAAGACGTATCTACAATTGATTCTCAACTGAGATATTATATTTGCAAACACAGTGATTATGTACTATAAAAAATATATTATATTTACATGAATATTTCTTCATTGTTAATCATATGACACCGAACAATACTTCTGATCATAATTGTTACAAACGAGAAGTGGATATCGTAACATGTTACTGAACAAATGCAATAAACTTATAATACTTTGTGATATGATATATATTCCATTTGTCCTTTTGTATATTTTATTTTATATAACATATTTTCATAAATTTAGAAAAAAACAAATAATAGTATTCAGAAAAATGCAATTATAACAGATCCAATCATCAATGGTCAAACTGATAAAATGATCAATATTTATAAAATTCTCTTCCATGTCTCTCATCATTATTCATTTGTAAATTTCTTTGTTATAAGACACGTGATGGACTTCGTCCAAAACGGAGACCCTCCTGGGCATAGCAAAATAGTTTTCAAAACCTATATCTTTTATGATGAGGAAAATATCTATGACTATGGTCAATTTAAAGAGGTAAAGAGATGCATACAAATGAAGTCATATGATTTTCTGTGTTCGTTTGGTCCCTGCTTGCTCGAGCGTAAATATTGGAAATTTCCCTTGGCAGAAGGTTTGAGATTTTAGGCCACACTTTCATAACGTTACGGGTAAATTTCCTGGTGGAAGATTCCAAAAGTCATTACAACATAATATCATCTGAAGATATGGCTTCGTATTAACCCCACTCTGGAATAGCAAATAAACCAGCCGTCTCGTGCGTACGCTTGCCCCAGTTGATAAGGCATGGGGCCTAAAAGCTAGGGAAAATGGGTCACATAAACTAGTATCTCCACTTTAAGACCTTCCATCAAGCTTAAAGTACAGTCTACTGCGTTCTAGTACGTGAAGTTCAAAACCAGATGGACGTAAGTCCTTATGAGGACTGAGCAAAGTATTAAAGAGCGATAAAGAAGCTATATTATCGACAGACGCCAGTAATGTACCTACGCATATGTACCTACGTGGATGTTTCATGTAAAATCCACGATGGACGATGAGCGTGTGTCAACCCTCTACTGCTATAGCTCAGCGAAGTCGTCAACTCCTTTGGGAGATCTGTTCTACAAGACCAATTGGCTAAAATTCAATGGAATGTTTTCGCGCTAGGCTTCTCTCCAGTACATGTGAAGCAATATGAGCAACATAATCTGCAGTGAAGAGTAGCCACTTTTGAGTGGTTTACTTTTGATCAAAAGATCAATACATGAATATTTTTTCTTGTAGTATCCAGATAGCTTCAATTTTCCCTAGAATGACAAGCTGCAGAATCAAGCGTAAGCTAGAATAGCAAGACAGACATGTAGAATATGTCGAATATGAAAAAAGACAAACTCTGTTTCTGTCGAACTCTCCTGCCTAGACTGAACCCTCAGTGAAGTAGACAGGACTAAACGGCCAACCACAAACGCGTACAACCATCGGGTAATATCACACCCCACCCGCAGAATACATGTAGGTAGTTTGCAGTGCAGACGAGAAAAATGTACTTTATTGCTGAATCCAAATAGATGACTTTACCAAGAGCCCAACTTCCAGTGATGCGATCGCGGAGACGGTTGCCCTGCTTGCAACCCTGGGCTACAGACGGTGGAGTTACGTACAATCTGCCTAACTCCAAAATTCTCAGACGTTTCCAACTCCGAGCGACAGCATATGCCTAAGTAGTAATCGGATGATGAAAAGGTGGTCTTCAGATTGATCTCTACCAGCACCTTCTGATGGATTTTCAACACATGACATACAGCATCTGTTTCGGTAGACAGAAGACCATCAGATTTATCTGTAAGTTTTACTTGAGGGTTTGATATGATATGTGCGACTTGCCACCTTAATTCTCTGCATCGACTGTTTAACCTTGATTGACCCATGCCTCTCGCGTGTGCCGATCACTGCAGGCGACATATCTACTCACCTAGCTGGACACTCAACTGTGTCCACTCCGAGCACTCTTCACAAGACTTAAACAGAAAACTCTCACTCATGCCTGAATTAGCTTAACCAAGGAAAGACGGGTGGTGATGTTGGGATCCGTGCTGTTAATACTTCACATCCTGTCTCAGTCACCTGCGAATATCAGGGAACACTTTATCCAGTAAGACGTACTGAAGCCGAGATGAACATGCGTCACAATAAAAAGACCTGATCATGATCATATTCTCCATACACTAACTAGAGGACAAAGAAGACAAAACTAGGACTTGCAGAAGTCAAAGTACCCACTAAGCTCACATTTGCAGTCGCCTTAAAGCAGTCAACATTCTAAATTCCTCCCTCAGACATGACTCGATAACAGGAAAAAAACAGAGAGCTGAAAGGATCAACACTGCATTTACCAGTAGTGTGTGCTCAAATTGCGCGGTCCTCTTCCCGTCAGCTGTAACAGATGTCCAGCCATCAGGCCACATCCTGTCTCGCCAAACACCTGTTACAATGGGGTGTCAGTTAAAACGCAGGATGGGCATTGAGCATCCTTCGCAGTGACGACTTTATTCTACCTTATTAATCCGAAACCGATTGTTTCGGATTAATAAGGTAGAATAATTTCGGATTGAGGTTTGTAAAATATGAACTTCTGATAGGTACTTTTACCACACTCCTGCAGAAGGGACCCACAGTGGAAATGTACACAAGGTGCAAGTTGTAAATACACAAAGGTCCATACAAGAAGATCTAGCTACCAAGCCAATGACTTTTCCACATCTCTGATGAGTCTCAATAAGAGGCAGGCCAAGTAAAGGAAGGGAAGAGAATGATGGAGGAGGTGAAGGAGAGAACAGAAGGCGGGGACTTCCCTTGTAAACCACACGGTTCTGTGGGAGGGCACATCCTTGTCATTCATCACCCCTCTTCCCACTCAACACCATTCTCCGCCTTTACCTTACTTGCCATTGCATCTTCACCATATCTCTTCAGCCAACAACAACCTCTCCTCTTCTTCTTCTTCTTCAGCTACCTCCCACTCCAATTGGCAGTTGGCCTGCTCTCCTTTCTTGGTAAAGGCCATGAGATGGATGTCCAGTCCAGTAACTTATAAATAAAAACTTTTGAGCGGCCAACTTCACGAAGCAACAAGTTCTAGACGGGAGATAAATGTTCCGAGATCCCACGCAATCCCTAAGGTCAACAGGAACATAACAGAGTGAAAAGGCTCAAACATACCAGCGTTGATCATCGGTTCAATAGTGAAGGTTTGTCCAGCCTTCATCACACCGACAGCCTTGTTCCCTGAAAGGAAGTTAAGGACACTCTTCCGAAAACAAAGGGAACTCAGAAGGCGGAACCAACCCACAGTAAGTTGTAGGTTCTTCGATAACCAGAAGATTCAATAATGCGGCAAATCAGAAACATTAGTAATTTTGGCCGAGAGCCTCGACAAGGAAAAACAGCTGGAAATATGTTAAAACTTCTCAAATGTCCAATGAACTTAATACGTAGGGTGGATACGGGAGTAATGAGGAATATTGGGAGCACAATGGAAAAGCTCTCCTATGCCATGTCCACTGTAAGATCTCACCTGTTTCAAGCAAAAATCGAAGCAAATAAGTGAGCAGAAAAGACAAGTCGCTTCGGTACATTCCAAATAATACAGATTTAGAGTCATGCAGCCCTCATTGACAGACAAGAATCCTTGAGATGTTTCCTTCTCAAAGTTCGTGCATTTCGGACAAAGGACGATGGCTCCGATAGGCACTCTTTGCATGCGAAAACTTGTGAGATATGCTCACCACTGAAAGTCCAGCAAGTGATGCATGACGACTGATGACTTCGCCGACCTCACGGTAGCGTACACCCGGTTTGACTGCAAGGAAATAAGGTATTTCATACGTGATTTGAGAGAAAAGGTAAACAGAGATAGAAGAGTAGCTGCAGTACTGGAAGTCATGATTATTTATAAGTGGGTTTCGTTAGTTCATTCTCTAAACTTAACCATACATTGCGAACTGCAATGATTGACTCATAAAGGTTCAATCTCCTCTACACAATTATCAGACAAGTTTGCATAAAAACGAAAGCAAAAGCTACGATTAATTACATGTAAGATTAACAATCAAACTTAACTACGTCGACTGAAAAAAGATCCACCTGAGCCCGCCCTCAGTGAACTAAGATAAGGAACGAAAAGCAAACTGGTAGGATAGTTACCAATTGCAATTGCCTTCTCCAAGCACTCATATGTGTTTTGCACAAGCAATTGAGAAGCCTCGTCCACTTTACCCACGAAGTAAGTTTCATTCAAGTCACCTAAACTCCGGCACAAAATGAACAAAGCACGGGGTCAACGGGAAGATCCAAGATACTAAATAACCACCAGAACTGGTTTCATCGCCTATCAAATTAGTTCCCTCAAGTCACAATATCTGGTAAAGCTATGATATTTTTCGAGGCCCGTTAAATTTGTCTTTTACGTAGTTCTCATCAAATAGAAACAACAATCTAGGTAATAAACAACAAGCCTCTACTATCACATCCTATTTGCGCCAATTAAAAAAGGCAGAAGGGTTTTCATGGTAAAGCTCACCATGGTACCCTTTGTAGTAAACAGTAACGTCTACGTTCACAATGTCACCATCCTCCAAACGCCTTTCAAATAAAAATGAGAAAGTATTTTAGTGTTTGCTTTTGAGGTGAAGATCAGTGAAATTCATCTCTTGAACTTGATGCGGGCACGAGAGTACCATTCAACACAGGACATGGCTCACCCAAAATAAATTCCTTGACAACTCCTCGTCATGTTCAAGACTCCCTCTCAAACAGTGGATGACAAGTATTCTGTTTTAATGCATCGTCATTAGGTTTTTAGTTTGGCAAGTACCTGGCATCCGGAATTCCATGGCATATCACCTCGTTCACCGATCTGCGAAATGACGACCAACCAACCACCTTCGAATTGGTCAATTGCCCTACGAAGTCATTACTCAGACGTTCAGGCACATCAAATAACATGTTAAAAAAACTTCATCACTTCTGGATGTCACTCACGTGCAGCACGACTTGGGGAAAAAGTGATAGTTAAGAGGAGATGGATATGCGCCTGCAACACAGAGTCAGCTGTTAGAAAACCTGTCCAACTAACTAACAATCGACAAACTTCAACTTCGAAGTCAGCAAAACTGGGCGAAATTTTGGAACTAAGCGTCCATAAACCAGAAACAGATATTCAGACAGCGGAATTCTGAAGCACCTGCAGCTATCGTGGCTTCATGCACTATCTCGTCAAGTTCATCCGTAGTTACTCCTGGCTTCACTGCTCTGGCGGCCGCGTCGAGAACATCCCTAGCAATCTGCAACACCCATTTTGATGACGGTGTTTTTGACAAACTGGTAATGAAGGGTTCGATCAATCTCAAACCCACGTCTTTGAAATCGCAAATAGAATCCGTCCCTGTATATAGAACCGTCACGGATGCTACCTATCGTTGACCAGTGGGTTGTTCTATGGCAGATTTGACATCTGGCAAAAAGCGGTATAAAACGGCTTACACATCAGTGTCAAAATCGCTGCTAGTGTCTACATCCGTTAATGCTCAAGAAGAAAGAGAATCAAAGAAGAGCACCTTGCAGACCTCCCGCATACGCTGAATCTGCTCTGGAGTCTTGATCTGTGCACATTTCGTCCGAAAATTTAGTCTCAAACCATCTCCAAAAAACAACTTGACAGTACCAGCATCTAATCACAGATAAAAAGATGAAGCGAAACCGATTCGGCCCAAATGACCGTCTTTGGAGTACCTCAACGCTGTTTTGCAACTCACTGTACTGCTCTGCGCTCGCGTTTCCCTGGATAAGAGAGGCAAAAATTATCAAAACGAAGAGTACACGCAACGGCAAGAAACACGTTACTGTTGGCAGCAAAGACGCAACAGCAGAACATAGCGCATATTCACTTACATTTGAGGCCCATTCAGGACGAGGGATATTCTCTGGAACAAATCTTCTTGCAGAAATCGGGTAAGGGCGTAAATCCCTGAACAGTCGGTATGTTAAAGTTAAATATATGCTATGCAATGCAGTGCTGTATGAACCTCTGATAAACAAGAACCGGTGTGATTTCGAGCATGTTGCAAGTGCAAGTTATAATGGGGACAAAGGAGTTAGTAAAATACCCTGTCCAATCGAAGTTCGGTGCTCGTCCAGATCTATGCTGTCCTTTCTGCAAACAATACAGCCACCCGCGAGAGAGGGCCTCCGCAATTTGATCCTGAGGATTGTCAGCCCGGATAACAGCTCGTTTGGATTCCGCGTGCACCACTTTGTGTGAGCCCCAAGCGGCCTTGAAGCAATCTTGAGAGCTGTCAAAAACCAACAATTAGAGCCGGAAAATGAACAAACACAGTCTTCAACGACAAATTGGAGATCTGCTTCGATGGACTTTCTACATTGTCGGTATCAATGCACCAGATAATTTACCAGAAGGCTCCATTCGCACGAGGCAGTTTCAGCTCGAGGCATTTTGGGCATCTGCAGATTTCCAGAACGAGTAATCAGATGACAAAACAGACTGGGTCCGTAGACAGAAGGAGGTTCCTTTTCACGGCTGTAATGGCTTATATTATTCTTGAAGACCACGTGCGATATCAGAGAAACTCCTCGTACCGTTTTGACAAACTGTGTTCCGCTATCTTGAGGAGGCAAGATTACAGTAAGAGCCACCTACTTGACTTCTTGGTGTGTCCACCGGTTGGTCAACTATGAGCAAAATGAGAAGGCTAAATGACAAGAAAGTCAGACGAATAAAACGTACTGACTCAGGTTTGAGAGGCCCTGCTTCGAAATTTTGAGTGAATTATTATGCTTCGAACATAAAAGGCAAAAGCTTGAGGAACACTGTAGTGCAGGGTTTTGCAACCCTGCACTACAGGACATCGATTATTTTGCTTTGGTGGCTCTGGAGTGAGTAGAATGTGTAAGCTTCTGAGAGAAAAAAATATGAACCATTTTAACGAAATTGACTTACTGAAGACGAGCAAGCTTGCTACAACGCACGCAAGCTAAAACTGCATCGCCGGCAGCGCTGCCGGAGTCCATTTGCTCCTTCTTGCCGTCAGTGGTGCCATTCCCTGATTCCTGCTCCGCACATCCCATAGAATATAGAGTCCCAAACTACGCCTCCAGATGCTGAGCGCGTACACAAATGTGATGACCGACCAAACGGTAAAGCCTGCGAGTTCCTTCGAGACTTGACAAAACCTGCCCGCAAAAGGCAGACAATATGAGTCTATTGATAAACTCACACCGACGTATGTCAAAGGCACATCCATTTGGAAACATCGCGCGAAAAGAATTCCCTCTCATGTATCGAATTGTTAAAAGCAAAATGTATGAAGAATCTTGCAATGCCATCCCCAGCCGAACACAGAGCAGCATTCCCTCAATCTGAAAGTCGAACGATAAAGCGTAAAATTATCAATCACATCACATCATCCAGCCACGATTCCTCTGTAACAAAAGTCCAAACGGGCACAGACTAATCCAATTCATACTACTGAGCTAAACTCCAAGCACATTTTCTTTCCAGAGCAACTGCCCAAATTCCATACATTCGTCCTCGTTAGCAGACACGCCCACACCGTCCACCCATCATTCAACATATCGTCATAATCAGAGAAGAAAAGATGAACGACAACCACTCACGCATAAACCACAAATTATGCCAAATTTCCCCGTATCGATAATCAAGGACTATTTACCGATACTGCCCTAAGACCGATGCAAAACATCACCACTCCCCACTGACACAGCCCTCCATTGAAGTTCTAAGACATCTCGACTCCACCCCAAGACGGAGGCATCCATACCTGCAGCTGCTGTGCGTCGTAGTGGCTCGAATCGCTGCACCGCGAATCCACAGACGGTACTGGACAACCTCGCGAGCCACGAGATATCCCCACGATATATCGCTTAAGCCCTCAGAAGCAAATTCGCATTGTTGGCTGCACGCGCCCTAGGCCGCCTGATTGCAGCTGATCCGTCCGTGGTCAGCAGCGCGATTTCTCCCTCCCACGGACGCAGAACTCAAGAACCACGGCGCCTCGGGCAACCGAGCACCGGCAGCGCAGTGGCCCGGCTGTCCGTCCTTCCGCTTCTCGCAAACGAACATGAACACGACACGAGCTCTCTGCGCTGCGACCCCGGTCAAATCAATCCATCGGTCATGGAGAAATAGAAATATTCGATCCGAGCGGTTTCCAAGCGCATCGGAACTCCTCGCCGGTGTAGAAAATCACTACCTCCGTAGAATTATTCCTGTGCCCAGGGAATAATTATATTCACTAGGAAGAGTACGTCGTTGTCATATCGGCCCACTTCGTCAGCCCGTAGATTACCGGTTGTAGAACCGGAGCGGGGTTTTTGGCCTGTAATGAAATGGAGCGGCCTCTAGTGGAGTGGGCAAAACGGGAGGACGCAGATTAATGTGAACTGCAGAGGAGCCTCGGGTTCGTAAGCTTTCTTGCCTCTAAGGCTCTAAAACTACGTTGAGCTTAATGTGCTTCAATATACAATATTGAGTGACGTGGTTTGCTGCTCCCACACTAGTTCCACTTTTAGACAGCCGAACCTTGCTTCCCACAACTTTGTAGCTACAATCGTTTCAACTGGTCGAATTGGACCTTCCAAAGCCGACCTATGTCCCCGTGAAGCGGAAAATTCAGTTACGTTCTCACATTTTATGACCTCGTTGAGATCTGAAGTCCTCTTAGATCAGGAAGGTTTACATTCGATGCCCAAATATAGGACGAGCAAACAGTGTCGTCCGAATTTTAACTTCAGGGTAAGATCAATTTGGTATTCTAAGACATGCAGCACCATGGAGTCACGCTGACGGATAACCCTTCCTCCTTGAAGCATATGTGCTTGAGTCATTTCGTGCATTACTCACTCTCATTTCTATTGTTTATGTGTGATGTGATCACATATCGCCAAGATTGGGTGCGAACATATAATTTTTCCTTCTATGCCACTAATAACTGTTCATAATATTCTTTTAAAGGTTAGAATTCATTCATAAAATAAATAAATAATTAATATATGATGATAAGTAATGTAAATGTTAAATGTAATTTTACTTTTTTTTCTCATATAAAATCTACAAATCAATACCCTGTCTACTAAAATTTTTCAAATGGATAATTTTACTCAACTAATCAACTAGATAAAGTGATACATGATGTCACTATGTTTCAATCTTTTGTACCATGTATAACTTAAATGAACATATTTTATATATATATATATATATATATATATCTTTATGATATTTCTGCTTTATATTGTTATAAGAGAGTCAACCAGATTGGTTTGAAGATGTAACTATGTGTTCTATACACAATGAAATTTGTCATAGATTATGTGACGGAAGCTTTATTTAGACAGGTAAAAGGGCAGTAAAATATAAATATATTTATAGAGGGAGAGAGTCGGCAACGCAAGTAGAACGATTTGCATATAATGTATGAAATCATACAATATAGTTAGAATTATTGATTCAAGAATTGGATTTGATTTATGACTATGGTGAAAATTGTAACTTAGGGAATATATCTATGGTTTTAATTCTTGCACGAACGATGCGCACTTAAAAATTGTAATCAATAGTCGGTAGAAACTGTAGATCACTGAAACTGGGCAATGAGCCTATCTTTCTTCACATTGGAGGTGTCTCCAACTCAAATTTAGCGGTAAGATATCAAATGGAGTGATGATATGTTTATTGTTCCCAACACCAGCCTGATGAAAAATATTAATTATCCAATTAAAATAGAAATTACTATCTATACATTATTCATTACTATTTTTAGATGGATTCACAAATATATTTAATTTCTTCAAATATACAATTTAGTCTTATAATATATATTTTTTAAATGAGTCACATATGTAAATTAAGGTATCTCAAATAAAAAGAAGATCCATTTTCAAAAATTCTTCTACTTCATTGATGTCTTTTTTTCAAGAATATCATATTTGAAATTGTTTTACCTATATTATGCATGAAATAAAAGAAGAATAAAAAAAATGAAAACAAAATATAATCATTATGTGATTTTAAATTTTATTTTCAGATCATTTTATTGTTTATCCAAAATGATTCATGTACGATGAAAAATAAAGCACAACTTATGTTGTGCTTATTATATATATATATATATATATACACATTCATTTCAACATATGTTGTGCTATTTTTTAATTTATTATGTTATTCTTATCCTCTATATATATTTATTTATTTATTTTATACTATTGTATACACATGATCAACAAAGATCCAGATTAATATGAATATGTGTTGATGATTGTCGACAAATAAGCCACAAATCTTATATATCGATATTTTTATGTGTTTCTTGTGTGATTTTTGTGTTTAAAATAAATAATAAGCTGGTTTTGCCTACATCAAAAGTATGGTCAAACTTTATAGAAAGCATCATTCACTTGAAAATTAATGTGGAGCTTATGAAAAGTTGTTCACCGTATTTGCTTTGTGTTTAAATCTAACAATTTAATGCAGTTTTTATTTTAAAATATCTTTTATAATTTAAGATTTTGTATTTAAATTATAAATACCTTATTTTTTAAGCATGTTATCTACATAAAATTATCAAGTACAAAAGCCAAAACTTTAAGTATTCATCATTTGTTCACATATACAAGTATCAAACATTGTACTTTAACCTTTGGGCAGATTTTTACTTTGGTTTTATCCACTTAATTTTTTCTAGCTCATCATGATTATTAAAGTATATGAGTTGAGTTTTCACTTACATGCTTGAGTCTAAACATACTTTCATAAACTTATTAAATTCATCGTCAAACACACAAACTCTAAGGTAGTTTAAAATTAAAATCTTCATTGATGAAATAAGCATTCACACAACAGTAATTCAAACTTGCTTAAGATACTATTTTAAGTATTTATATGATGATTTTCATCATGATATACTTTTAAAAATTACTTCTATTCATTAGTTTTGATACTTATGACCGATAACATTGATAAGTATTACATTACTACATGCTGTGGTTTTTTTCCATTACAACATGTCATTGGAGATCTTAAAACTTCTAGAGTCTTTATATTTTAATACATTACGATTAAATTAAAATAAATATTAATAATTAATAAATAAATATTTAGTCAAATGAAACAAAACTGATATGTAATAAAATATTTTTTGATTCAAATTCAGAATTTTATTAATATGAAATAATAATGTTTAACTTTTACATTCTTTAGTACATAATAAAAAAAATTATTTTGCCCAATATAGATTTAATAAAAAAATTCAATCTTCACTAAGTTAGTAATGATCAACTTTTTTGAATTTATCAACAAATACATTCTTATTACTACAAGTCTTGTGGACCATGAATCATTGTGATTTTATATAATCATTGTTTAATAGTGTATACAAGTTGTTTTACTCTATATAAATATTTTATTGACATGAAAATGATATATTGTAAATTTTTTCTTTGTAAATCTATTGATTATTCATAAAGATAGTTCAATCTACATATTTTAGAATAAATTGTTGATAATAAATATTTGCAAAAAAATCCTCAATGGACACAATATAACAAATTAGAGCATATTTTGCAATAAAAAAATATAAATTATAATTAAAATTATTTTTTATGTAAATCATATGCTCATAAACTCAAACTTGTCAATTATTTATATAACGTGATAATTTGTGTTCCATTAATCTTGTGTATACATGAATTGTCTATCAACTTTTGATTTCCTATAGTCTTTCAAATTTTAAATAATTTTTGTATAAATTATTACATTTTTCTTTATAAATTTGCAATTTAATCAAGTCTATTCAACAAAACTTAAATCTCAATGTATCAAGAAGTTTCACTTGCTTTGAATATCATATTCACATATTTATTGTCAAGGTAGATTTGTAATTATACCCAAATAGTTTATTTCTACATTCAATTTATTGAAGATACAAAAAGAACATTTTTTGATAATTTTACTTGAATTTAAAAGACATGCATGGAATTAAGTTTTTTCACGTTTTTTTTATTTTCAACTTGAACAAATATTTCATATGAAAAAACAAAATCTTATCTCTCACACATGAAACCATTGTAATTCTTGTTTTGATTAGCATTGTTTTTGAAAAAATGCTTGTTATTATCAATATTTTAATATTATTATGTATTTATTAATCTGTTTTTTATATATATTCAAATATTTTTTGAGAATTGAATTAGATTTGAGTGAAATATAAGTTTCATCTAAAGTTAAATGAAGTGTTCACAGTTTTGACACTTCATATGTGTACACTTAGAGACTTAATTAAGTTGAGTGTGAAACATTGTACTACATTAGACTTCACAACTATACTCATACTCGTCTCACAGCTACGTGTGGGTAAATTGTATCCACCCATTATTCATCCATGGCATCTTGTACATATGCATTTTCCATCCAATTCATACCTATAAGTTCATCACAAAAATAAAATTACTTAAGAGTACTTTGCAATGTTTTTTAAAAAAGTGACGTGCCAATGATTTATTGTAAATAGTTTATTGTTATACTACTTCTCGACCATCTATGTCGTGTGACTGGTTTCCTCAATGTGCCTTACGTGCAGCATGCGAACGTATAGATTGAACATCTCATCGATGTAATGAACGATGATGAACATGTACAAGCTCTTCTTGACTGCGTCCGTCCAGAAGTTGAAAGTACATGTCACGTTCAAGCCCGGGTTGAAATGCTTATTGAGTCCAAGGATGAGCTTTTCCCCGTCGTTTAGAGCTCGTAAATCAATGTTACGGCTAATTGTCATCATGTTGGCGAGCAGCTCATTGATTGTGACTCGACCAATGCTGCTTGATCTGATGTAAAGTACGGTTTAGATGAGCACATTGAGAGCCAATTCGCTATGAGACGCATGTTGTTTGCGTAATAATTGACCCCCACTATCATCATCATCTCCTTTTCTTGCTTGATGACGATGTGCTTATCAAAAAACATATACGTGATGACTATCTCGGAGGTGAAAACAAAACATTTGTGCTTTGAGATTCTACCCGTGCCGGTAATGATTTAAAAGTCTAAAAAAACAAAGTTCTACCAACATTAGATTATGCTAATCAAAGTGACACACTAAAATTAAATTAATAGCTAATTAGCACTAAGCAAGAAAAATAGACTATGACTGCAAGTTTATGACAATTAATAGTTAATTAGTACAATTAAGTCTCGCTAAGGTAAGGTAAACCTTTAGGGTTACCCGGTAAAAGTGTAAAAGTTAAATGTTAAGGTAATACGTTTGGCTATAGAGTAAGGTAAAGGTAGAATAAAGGTAGAGAGTCGCGGGTTACCTGCTAATTATTGGGTAACTTGCGAAAAAAAAACCGTGAACATTTTTCTGCACATTCTCCCTGACAAACCTCATACACACGAAAAGCAAAAACGTGTACACTGAAAGAATTACTCAGTGGCATTCTGCACATGCTCCCAGACGACAAGATCTAGAAAATAGCAATGCACGGTTTATCTCGAATTGGTAATTCTGATCTCAATAGCTTAGTTGCATAATTTTATGAAATTTTATTTTGCTAATAGTTTACTTTTCTTTCAATTAGTTGCACTAATCTTGCGGTCTTTTTTTACAGGGTTTATCGTTGAAGGGTATACGACGTCAGGAAGTTACATGCAGTTGCAACACCATTTAACATCGGGTCTATCATTGAAGGAGATAGCAGGTCAGAATGTAACATAGTTTAGTTACATTTGCTCTCTCATGTAGTCTTGAAAGACAATGACAAAGATAATTCTTCGCCACAAGCAACAAGAGTTTTGCACGTCATAACTCATGGGCACACACACAGCCTGGAACTTCGTCCTTATCACCGCAATAGTGCTCTCATAGCCTGTTTGAGAAAGATCGCTGCAAAGCAGAATTCATTCGGCTTAGCGTGCAGCAAGCTCTGCTAGACTCTCCGAACCAGAACTTTGCAGATCTTTAAATGGTCATCCATATATCAAGGTGACTCTAAGTAGTTGTGGAGCCAAGTATCGACTTGACTTGCATAGCTCCTTTACATACCTCCAATCAAAGACTCGCATTGCCATGATCTTCTCATCGAAGATTTAACCTTCTGATACTACAGTCAACTCCAACTCAATCTTGTGTACAGTGAGTGTCTCAGTTCTTGTAAGTTCAAAAAACTCTGTCATTTCCTCCACAGTCAACCTCCCTGCTGCTGTCACATCCCCTATCAAGCTACGACTCTCATACTAGTAAAGGTAGATTTACCAGGTAACGCTAATAGGTTCACGGTAAGGGTAACTTTTAAACCTTTTAAATTCGTACCAGGTAACCGGATAATTACTATAAGGTAGAGGTAAAGGTCAAAGGTAGATCATAGTGCTACGTGTAACGTAAAAGGTAGGGTAAAGGTAGAGTCCCATGTCTTAACCGGTTACCTTTTACCTTACCTTGCCGAGGCTTAAGCACAGTGCACCAATTATCTATTAATAGCTATTAATGTGGCGCAGTACAATAGCTATCACTAGGACTACAATTCAACAAGTCGCCCTATAATCTGCTAACTTAGTCGTTTTAAAGCTCAGGTTCTTAGTATGCATCCATTACTCATACATGCATCCAAAATCATACCCAAGATCTACCCATTGTGCCATGTATATGAATGGGTATTGGATACCCATTGTACTACTATGGTGTAAAAGTATGTGCATTGTAATTAAAGATTATCAAAAATGTTAGTTTGTCAGTTATATATATATATGAGATGTAATGACATGCCGTAATTATATACAGTGAGATGTAATAGGTTTATCAAATAAGTTTGTGTGTTTGATCAAAGTCATTCAATATACTTGATTGATTCAATAAGTATTTTTGCTTGTTTCAAAATGTTTGACTACTTTCATATTTTATACATTGTAATAAGTTCACAAGTTGATGAAACATTTAAAAAAAATATAATTTGTAATTTTTTTTCATTATATTATATATCCTATTTTGACAATGTAAGTCTCAACTTGAACTTTTAATTTGAAAATATAAAAAAATCAAATGGGAAACCTTAAAATAATCATACAAACAATATTTAAATGTTCAATTATGCTGTATAATAATGAACATTTATAGAATGTGAATAAATAGATGATAAATTTCACACATTCTTGTTTTGTTCCAAATTTTTATTTTTATGACTAAAATCAATATTAGAAGCAATTTGATATTGCCTAATTTGCACACAATGTTTGCAAAATCATAAACTACCATCACGTAATAGGATGTTAGGTTATTTTCTTGATGAAAAAGTACTTGCTAGTCTGACATTTGTGAACTAGACTTAAATATCATGTATAAACATTTTAAAGATAAAAAAACATGCGTATTCCATATGTATATAAACATGAACATGATATTAGATGCAAATTTTGAAATTAAAATAAAATCTATATATTATCAACACAATGTGTTTTTTTTTTCATTTTAAGTAAAATTGAATTGTTTTGCAGGTTTTAATAACAATTTAGAAAAATTACAAAAAGTACTTCATCATCTTGTTCATACTAGATTTTATATGATTTCCATTAATGATATTATTCATCAATGAAGATTAGCAAAAATTACATTATTATAAGTGCGATGCAAATATATGATATTGGTCGTTTGTATTTTGTTTTTAAGCATTTTGACCCTTTGGGTCACACAGGCCTGATCTATTTACCAAAGAACTAAAAATTATGAAACTAACAAACTATTTTCCATATGAGTATTAAGTTTATTATATGGTGACATATAATATAATGAAATGTTTGACGGAATATTGGAAGTTACAATGGTACTTGAATATTCACAAAATACATTTTTATCTCATGTCTACTAGCATATTAGCATGGTCAAGTTTCATGAAGAGTTCATAGAGTAAAATGGATTTGACTTTGTATTATTGATCGTTGGTCAATTTGTCAACGGCCGCATATAAATTTTGGCCTAGAATAGAACGTGGCAACTTGAAATTTGTCAACATGATATCGGATTCGAAAAGTTTTCTGCATCCAGCACGTCAGCAGTTTACCTGATGATTTACTATCCGCTTCCTCGTCAGGATAGAATTGTTCTTAAGGGTAAGGGCTTTTGAGAAACCGATTAGTTTGAAGCACAAAGTATCTCGAACTTTTTACAATCCCGCATTTTCAATCTATCCTACTTAATTCTTGTATAGTGTGCTGATTGCAAAATGTGTCAATCATGTGCTATGTTGCATAGTCTCGCAATATAAACTTTTGGAAACGAGGAGATGGAATGATAGAGATAACAAAGAAAAAGGCAGGTTTGTGGTTGAGAGGTAAAAATGGTTTGGAAAGGGGACAAAGAAATATGTTGCGGCGTATGACTCATTTGGAAAGATATCGTGAATGTCGAAAGAACTGGTCGCTATGGTACGATCTGGGGAAAGCGAGCATTTAACGTTGGAGGTAGAAGTACCCAATGGCGACAAAAACCATGGTCAGAGTTCATTAACGTCCGGCCGGGAGAAGTCAGTTGTGGGACTTCGGCCTTGCTACTGTACTGTACTGTCGCGCGTCATCTTCAGTAGCAAATAGCATTCATGCGATTTGGTCGCCCCCTCAAAGGAAACGAGGAAAAGCCCGAAAAGGTTCAGGCAGAGCTCTTATTGCTCTGCCCCGACTTTTGTGCCCTTCATTCCACGAGGAGCGTTCTCGAGGGAGGGAGTGAAGGAGGGATCGAGTCATTGGCGTCTGTTTCTCAAAGTTGTGTGGGATCCACAAACTTTTAAGGCTGGTGGGGGGAAGGGAGAAGGGAGAAGGGAGAAGGGGAGAAGCGCGGAGAGGTGTCGGGAAAGAGGACGTTCTGGAGAAAGGCGGGGGAGAAGCTCACTCGGCGAGAATCTGATCTCGAGGGGTGGAGTGTTGAAATGTGGGTTTTATGGAGACCCAAGAAGCTGGTCCTTTTCATGGTTTTGCTGCTGACAGTGTATGGGCATACGGGAGTAAGCTGGTCACGGAGTTTAGGTGATGGAGGAAAGAAAGACGAGAAGGATGTCGGGCTTGAGCTCACGATGGATAATTTCAATACCTCATTGTGGGCTGCACCTGCCAGTTGGGCCCTGGTTGAGTTTTACAATCGATGGTACGCTGTTCTGGGTGGATCGTGCAGTCGTAGGGTTTGGAGGACTGTGACAAACTGTATCGTTTTGATTCCTTGTAGCTTCTTCGCAACACAGTAACCTGTCGAGGATTGTTGTCTGTGTTTCCTGTACATCGAGGAGAATCAATTGATTTGCTGTCCATTCCCGACGAAAATGTCTATGTTTAGCATATGAGAGACTGAATTTAGCTGGAATGTTGCGTTGAAAGAACGTAGGCTGTGGCCTACATTTTCTCAATAATCAGAACTTTCATGTGGAAGCAGTCTGGAAACACCAATTTATTCAGTTTTGCGCAAATTATGTATGGTTATTCGTTCGATATAGATTTTGCTTTTATCTAACGAGTGAGGCCTTCTGATGCAGGTGCCCGGCATGTCAAAAGTTCAAGGTGAGAAAGTGCGTAAATTTTTTCTGTGGTACTCATAGTCAAGCTTTAACGAGCTACTTGTTGTCATTCCTCACTGATGAAATTTATCAATCAAATGCATTTGCAGCCTCATTATGAGAAAGTAGCGAGGCTGTTCAATGGACCAGATGCCGCGTATCCAGATGTTGTCCTGCTGGCCAAAGTGGATTGTGCAGATGAGGTGAGTATTTATGATTGGATTAGAGTTATCTTCTTAACTAATAAGGCAATTATGAAAATTTAGGTTGTGTAAGCAATACTTAGAGTCCATACGAATTAATTTGAGGTCTTGATACTATCTTCCTATTGTGAGTTTTTTGCATGTAATCGATAGTCCATCTGGAGGGACTAGTTCTGTGACCACTTAATGTTCATTTTCAGTATACAGTAAATTACGTCTCAGATGTTTCAGATTCATCATTGACTCTCATTGTTGTGTGCATTCGACCTTTCATGACTGATACACATGGGTGGTTTCGTTGTCCGTTTTCAGTCCTTTAAATTGTTGTTCCAGGACACATACCTCACTTCCTGATATCTGTATGTGTACTGAATGTTCATCTGGATTTGGATTCTGGATTTGAATTTAATCTCAATATCCAGAATCCAACAACCGGATCGGGATTTTGTTCATATTGGAAACTTTTTGTTGCTAAGGATTATCTCACTTGAGTAGAGTACATGGCGGCAACTGTCGCCCTTTACTTTGTTTGTGTGGAGTTTTTCAGTATTATTTGGTAATCTTGAATTTCTTTCGTCTTGGTGACACGACAGCACAGATCAATCAGAAATTGTGTCAGAGATTTTCTGTTTTACGTTGGCCAACACTCTTGTGGGCCAAACCCACTGCCTTAGCTTGGGGCAGCAGAACCTCGGAGCAAGATCCTGTTCTAGAACAAATACCTATCAAAGCAGCTTACAACGCGAATAGTCTGTTGGAATGGATCAACAAGCGGCTTGACCGGTTTGTCCTTTTTTTTTATTCTTTTTTCTTTGCAACAAGTGTTCGGTCGCAAAAGTTCTCTGTTATGAGCTGCCAAATAATTTGTTATCTGAAGTAGAGAGAAATATTTGGACTGAGGTCATTGACATCTTCTTGCAGATCATACACATTCGAATCAGCTAATGAGCAAAAACAGAGTGCACAAACCACTGGCCTGGCCTCAAGACAGGTTTGTTTCTGCTGCCTGTTTTTTGTTAATGGGTTTCACTCTAAGTACCCATCATATTGATATTGTGCTCGGCGATATTCTGGAAGATATCTAAGCTGATTTTCTCTATCTTGATTTGTTAGAGAAGATGGTTGCATCCATCCAAGATATCGAGGAAGCAACTGCCCAGGCTTACGAAATTATCTTAACTCAAAAGGTATGTTCTGTCCATGTAGAACTGTGCTTTCATCAACAGACTTGAGGAGTTTTAGTTTTGTTGGAACCTACAATTATTGTGATATAAGTTTAGAGTTAGACATGATTGTAAGCTTAATGTGAGTCTCCTACCAGAGTACATGATGCATGTACTTGTAAGAAGCAAATTCCAAAAGGTCAATCTTCACCAGAGTGCTCTGTGGAACTCTGTCTCAAGACGACGGATTGTGTATACCTTATTTGATTCTTTGTGTATATAATACTTTGCAGCTTTTAAGCTCCAAACATCGAACTCCTTTCATCCGATTCTTGCAACTTCTGGTGGTTCATCATCCTTCTAAAAGGTTTGCTTTCTTTATTTTCCTGAAGTACATTCTTCTTATAAATTGTAAAAATTGGCGATTACAAACTCTGAAGTTATGTACCAACCTGTTCCTTTTTTGGTTTTCTATAGGTGTCGTGCAGGTAGTGCGGAAGTTCTTCAGAATATCAAAGATGCTTGGCCTGGAGAGCATGTATCAGAGTTTGACGATCACTTCACAGGGATTATTCAAAGTGAGAAGCTGGTGGGTGATGTGGGTGCACTGAAACGGCTTCACGTATGCGGAGAGAAACTCCCAAGTAAACACTGGGTGTGTGTTCTGGCATGTTCCTAACTTGGTTTGAGCATTATAACCCTTTTAATGGATTTTGATCTTGCTAAATGTCAGCTGAGTAAAGAAAATATCACATCTTGCAGACTACGTGCAAGGCAGAAAACAATGGTTACAGGTATGTACTTGGTTCTCAACATTCTTCTTTTGCTTTGAAAGAGAGTATCTTGTCTCGGATGTATGAAATACCTGTTATCATTGTATCTTTGATCAAGTTGTGAATGTTCGGATTATCCTAGGCTGAATCAACATCTGAAAGGACTTGGAAATGGATGTTGTGGCAGTTGCGGCTTGTGGTATCTTTTTCATGCTCTGTCAGTTCGAGTCGATGACGCGGAAAGCAATGGTGCTATGCGGACCATTCGTGGATTTGTCGAGAACTTTTTTTTATGCGACGACTGTCGTGAGCATTTCATGAAAATGAGCGCGAGGTAATGATTGAAGTTTTGAATATGTACATAGTCTTTTACCTTTTCTTTAAGTCAGTACGATCTGCTTTTCCTAAATTATTCTGTTCTTCTTGTACGCAGTGCTGCTGAGACTGTAACCACCCGTCGTACCTTGGCGTTGTGGTTGTGGCGTGCACATAATGAGGTAAGTCTGTCAACCTTCCTCATAAGTTGAATGGAAGATTAATACATGCTTCATTTGATTTGATACGGGCATCAAATAAATACTTTGGTTTCATGTTCTGTTTAACTCCTCCTGTCTCTTACTATTGTTCTGTTTTATTTTAAAACGGAAAATAACGTACATATGTATTTCAAGTGTCGAGCAGTTATATCCTGCATGGAGTCTCTAGCCACAATATTTGAGCACTAGTGAATAACATCGTGAGGATGTCAGGTGAACAAACGACTCGCAGATGAAGACATTGTGAACAAAGTTCAACCTTCGAGGCCGAAACTACAGTGGCCTCCCAAGCGAATGTGCACCTCATGCAGAAAGCATGGAGATACTGACGATGAGTTCGAATGGGATGAGGACGAAGTGTATATCTTTTTGAGGAAAATATACGGGGATTCTCTAGAGGTCGCAGTTCAAGAAAGTACAAAGATTACCACCAAAAGCAGACATAGTGAAAATGATAAAGTAGAAGAAACCCTTACCAACAACTCAGTTGCCGTGCCGGTGGGAGCAGCCGCAGGCATCGCTATGGCTAGTTGTGGATTTGGAGTGGCAGCCTGCTGTTGGCGTTTACAACAGAAAAAGCGCAAGTACTAATCTGACCTCTAAACCCATACAATCCGACACATTAGACAGTATTTTACTTTGGTGAAGGGAGTGTAATTTTTTGCTTCTCATGACCTTTTCAAATATTCATACCATTACGAGTGACACATTTGGACTGTTCATTGACAGGCCAAATCGAAGCCACACATGAAGAGAGGGCACATGTACTTAAGAAGTGTTTGTTCTGGTGTGAGTAATAGTATCTAGGGGCGATTTTGGCTTGGCTTCGAATGCTAATTTTATGCAGGTATTAGATGTTAATTCTCGCACAAATCACTACTGACGTGGACGAACGGGCAGGCAAATGCGCAGGAGAATCTGACTCAACTTGGTTGGTCCCACCAAACTGTACACCAGTAGTGAGCAAAGTCCTTCTTGACCCCCGGCAGTATCACGTAATTAGATCAGCAGATGGGTGGGCGGTAGCGACGTCAAGGAGTTCGAATCTTGGTGTTAACTGTAAACCTTATCTTGTGTGGCTGCTTCTCTGAATTTGCCCTTCGATGTGATGTTCTTGCAAGATGCAGCAACGTACAACTGATCACGAGAACACGACTTTCTATGAGAGCACGTCTTTAGTACAGAAGAATTCATCCTTGGATTTTGATGTAATATCATTGTGATTCTTCTTCAATACTATCCTGGTACAGCGAAACAGTTTTACTCATTCTTTTCGTTTGTGTTGCATGAGTGAGGTAAATTCCCGTTATTGCAGAGCGACTTTCTTTGTGGATGATTTTGCCGACTCTATAAGAGTCACGGAAGCAAAAATAGTCTATCTGCTTCAGCTCCTTATGATGGGCCCTGTGGCTAATGGTTTAACCGGATGTAACTGGAGATGGTAGAGAGTTCTGGCAAATTTCTTCATCATGAGAGTAGTGCCTCTCATCTGAGTACCAGAATGTATTAAGTAATTAGGGACAGTCCGATGGAAAGATGATTGGGTAGGTGTGCAAGCTTATACAAAGGGAAATCAGTATTGCCAAAAATGCCTCCTGAACTGGGCTGTATAATTAAGTTACAAAGCCTGCTCTTTGCTCATGGTTTCTGTTCATCACAACTAGTCCGAGTCATTACAGAATGGTACGGATTTTCCTGGTCGTAGACACTATCCGAAGCTGCGCAAGCTGCCTAATGACTAACTACATCATAAAGAAATGCAGATGGAACAGAGTGGTGCAGGCAAATGTTTAGAGCCATGGATAAACAATGTAAGAAGAGCCCATCGGAATGTGAGAGTAGATTGATGTGTGTAAGCTATCTGTTGGGGCACTCATAACTTAGATATGCTTGGAAGTATGTTGTGGCGTTCATGAAGCAGAGGGTACATGCTGTGCAAGGGTCGCGCAGTCTACACTGCTGTTAAAGATGAATGTTTTTTGCTACAAAAAACCGAAATCTCAAGAATCTTGCGTTACAGGAAAATTTGCTCATAAAGTAGGAGTTTAGTCTAGGTGATTATATGAGGGGATGTTCTTTGATGCAAGCGAGTAACAGACTTATTCCGTTTATCTGTTCGTATATATACTTGATCCTTTTATCTTGTCATATATTTGCTTCTCTATATTTCATTGTCAAAGGCGTAGAATTTTGCAGCAGCCTAGCTTGTTTTTCCGGTTTCCATTCAACAAACCACTGCATGGGCAGTATACCTAGCAATTACTAACAACAAGGCCTTGGAAACTAACTTTACTAAATCTCTGTAAGTTCAGCTTACAATTTGATGGGTAAAACTTCAGGGGTGTAAATATGCCATAGATATCATTTATGACGGGTCCTTTTAAACTTCAATTTTTTGCGTTTGGAAGGAGTAATCAGAGACATACTACTTTGGAAGTAGACATATTCAATGCAGGTCATCAAGTTTTGCTCCATGTCAATAACTTGCTTCGGTTTTCAAATTAAATTGAAACTTGAAATTTGAGATTACTGTCTTATCAATTATCCAGCATTTTCACACATTTTGTTTCTTGTGAGGAGCTGGAAGCACGAGGTGAGGAGCGTGATAATGACTCGTATTTTTGTTTCTTCCTCTGTGCCATCTCTCATGAGCGAGAACTGAAGAGAGGTTTCATTAGTACAAAAATCGCAAACTCACAGAACACATGGCTAGAATAATCGCGTCTTAAGCATGATGTTGAAGGAAGCATCCCATAACTTGTACGCAACAGTGAAGGAACACAGATTCTTTGGAAAAGACAGGTTGAGGCGGAATTGTGGATCACAATATTGTGGTGAGAGAAAAGTATTCATGCATACATACAAAATCAACGCATCCGATGAAACACTAAAGAGTCTCATTGTGCTTTAAGGTGAAGCTCCAAAGAGCCGGAAATGTTTGACATACAGTACTTCAAGTACCGTCTTAAACAATCTAAAATTATAAGTAATTACTGAAAGGTGTAGCATAATACTTTACTTCTGGACAACCTTTATTATAAAGGTTGTCCAGAAGTAAATTATTATGAATACAAATTATGTACAACTACCTATGAAAATAGCTTATCAAATGTAAAATTAAATATTCGATCTTATATGATTTAGCGTGCATGTTCAGTGATTAAATCAACCCTGACTGAAAAAAATCTATTATACAGCTTTATTTCTCGCACCTCAATGATGACAAAATTAAATCAGATGGAAAAAAATTATGTGAATTTGTTTTATAGATATTTGAAAAACTAATTCTAGCAAAATTCACGGAGAGCATAAACCACATGGTGAATGGTGTCTCATCATTCCAATCCCACAATGTTTGCGTGGTAATACGGTATAAAATAGTGAACCTCGGCGAAGTGATGATACTGTACATTTTGAATCATTTGAGTTTCAATTTATGTCTCATTTTTCACATTTTACAGTTTTCACTTGAGAGAAAAAATATGAAATACAAATTACTACTTGCCTTATTACAAATTGTAAAAGCACAAACTTTATGTGCAATCGATGTTCTTTTATGCAAGAATCCACTTTACTTTAACTAACGTTGAAAATTAGTTTCACATATTACACACAGATTACTAGATAGGATATACCTAAGAAGTCGGCAATTAAATTGAAGAGAACCGTGTTCTAATATAGAGAATAGTGGTTGATGTCATTATTACAACTCACCCAAGTGAAGTAAACATTCCACTAGAATTTCTGACGATTTTAACCACTTCATTCATTCTTAATTATAACCTAGATTAAAAGAAATCATTTGGTGGTTTTACAATTACTTGTTTGCAATTGGTTTGGATCAGTGTAGGGCTACGAGTCATTTCCACGTGTTTAAATAATTGAAGATCCTTAATCTATATGCACCAAGCTGTTCTATTGTGCTGTACTGTAGGTCGAAAATTCTTTCTAGGATCGAAGCATCGGAAATCGAAAAATGTTCAATGGAAGTCACTCTCCTTGCTTCCTCCTGCTCTATGGACGATGCGTGTTGGCTGCCAGAAGTGCTTGAACTCTCCTCTAAACATTTCGTTCTTCATCTTCGCCTTCTTGGTCACGGCTTTGGATTCTAGTGGATGGTCTTGCCATCATGCTCTCCATCCCATGCAGGCGTCGCCATTTTTCCTTCGGCCTTCCTGTTCATCGTTAGTCCACGGGCATGTCACGGAGATTCCAAGGTCAACCGAGTTGAATACGCACGTCTCGTCCACTTTTTATATACATCCTTATTCAACCTTTCCTGCCGTTTGTAGAAATCCGTCGTTCTCAATGATCCCCTCATGCGGAAATGTCTCAACGTACAGGGAACGTAGTTTTGTTTCTAGTGCATCATGTGCAAATGCAGAGTCGATGTATAATTATAGTACTCGTTAGTCCAAATACGGAATTGGACTCGAAACCCATTCCGAATTAGGAGTTCAACTCTTGCACAGATGACGGAAGAAGTAATTACAACTCTGATGTGCCCGAAAAACTAGTTTAGTACTCAATATAGGATGAGATCGAACACACATTTGTTGTGCTAGTTTTGGAAACGTGGATAAAAATGGCGGCACAAGAAAGAATTGACTTCGCAAATTAGAAACTTTTCTATGTTTCTCAAAAGAAGTAATTACACTCTGATCTGACCGAAAAACAAGTTCAGTACTCAATATAGGATGAGACCGAACACACATTTGCTGCGCTAGTTTTGGGAACGTGGCGGCACAAGAAAGAATGGACTTCGAAAATTAGAAACTTTGCACTCTGTCAAAGCTTCGACACAAAGTCCTAACGGTATCCGTATTTAGCACTGATGTTCCAATACTTGGTTACATTAAATGACATCTTTCCTGGCACAGGTTTGACATATGAGATTAGATGCTAATAGAAGTAACACATTGCTTTCATGACTCAAGCGAACTTACCAGATTAGGATGGTTTCATACTCGACCTTTCCAATCTCATCGTGTGCGTCGTAAAGTCAATTCGGGCATCTATATGATTCCTCAACTTTTTGCTGTTGTTCTTTTCACATCGTGCCACCCATCTTCATGGTCGTCTTTGGCTAGTGTACTTACTATTCTTGTTAGGTCTCTTCTACATATAACTCGTCGTTCTTGTTGGACATCAAAATAATTTACAATGTCTGCTATCCTCTAAGAGTGCGACGCTTATGTGTATCAGTAAATCATTACGAGAATTGTAATCAATAATCAGCGACGTCGAATGGAAATGTCCCAAAAGCACAATTCTGTGAATCATGGATCTAGACGCGAATGCCTCAGGTAATGATTGGCATGCAACCTACAAGTAATGATGTAAAGAGACTTTGAGATGATGTCAAACGCACGAGCAGGAGTCTTTTGAATCCTGAGGACACTCTGCCGTGTTATGACTCCCATCTGCAATCTGACTCGGGCTTTGCATGTCACGGGACGATCCAACTCATCATTGTGATTTTACCACCTGTTACCTGGTATGGTACTCTGGTGGCCTTTCATGGCGGGCTTGAGATAAGAAATCAGTTCACGGAGGGTTGTTTGCAGCTCTATGGCGGAAAGTAGGTGTAAAATAGTTAGCAGCGTGCAAAAAAAAATTGCAAGTCTCCGCACATGATTAGCTCAAGGGAAGTGTATCTATCCGTGTTTGTGCTCACAAAACAAGTACTGTAGGTGATGTTCTATCCACGCCTGCGTGCACGGGACGCAGCCGTTTCTCCGCTGAGGTTGTTCAGTGATACACGTAAGAATCCGTATGTTCGGGCGCGATCCACAACACCTGTCAGTTCACAGCGCGTGGTCAAATTCAGGGATCCAGATTATGATGTATAACCCGAGAGTCCTGTATTACGAAAATGTGAGGAGGAAAAGCTTCACTGTTACGTGGGTACTGAGACTGGGTAGCCTGGACGCTTATGTACGTTGGTTAGATTCACGTAATGTCGAGAAACTCATAAACCGAATCTTTATAAAACGCGTTCGACATTGTATGCAAGGGATTTGTAACATTGTCAGTGACAGGTCTACAGATGTGTGCCATCTCAGTACATTCAAAATTCAGAATATGCACTAGATATAAAAAGTCTCTAGGTTGCTCGGCTTGATACGAATCTTCGTGTTTTATTCTCAGATTCTAAAAATGTTACAGCTGCAAAAAAGTTCTTAGAATCGCAGTACAATATTCCTAGAAAAAGTACAGGTCAATTGTTCCCAAAAGACTTGCGTCTAAAATCTATCTGTCATCGCGAGGCCTGCCGTATCATCAGCAATCTTCTGCACGGACTTTGGTGGCAAAAAATCAGTAACCATTGTGGTTTACATTCTCCTTCTTTTCTGAATGGAGTGGGAGACGAATATCTGGACAAGTCATTTCACACTGAGTGTATGAATTTGTTATATACATGACTCTTTTGTTCGATGGATGACCAGTTGGAAGGCTACCAAGTCTTCAGCTGTAGCCAAGATTATCCACCGAGAACTTTTCAGTCCATTATCGAAGGCATCTTCGAAGGGCTTCCTCTATTTCCGAACACACTGCAAATTGATCGTTGGAGCTCTGTTTTGGCATCTGGCAGAATTTCAGTCGGATTAAGTCGTGTGATTTAAAAAATAGATAAACCACTGCAGTTCACTTGGCAGGTTTACTGTATGCATAGCTCAATTCAAATAGTCCCACTTAGCATGTATTGAGTTCCTGAGATTGTAAAAAAAATTCTTACCTTCACTTTGATTGTTGCATGGATCCTATAAACATTTGTCGACACTGAAGCGTGTGTCACAGTTAACTCTAAATCCCTGAGACAGGTAAATATGTCGATGGCTGTGTCTTCCTGACTGCAGTCGTTCCGAACCACTTCAATTTTCAAGGTATCTTCGTCCTCAGGTGTGGCCTGAGTCATATCCTGAGTGGGAGAATGAGTTCTAGAGGGTATGACCTTGATATCCTCACACTTAAAAGACCCTGCGTCCTGACCACTTGAGCTCAGTGCCATATTGATCTCCTCAAGCTGCTTCAAGCGTTGTTTGAGGCTCTTTATGTACTCAACTGTTTCTCCGAGAAGAGTTATTTTGTCCATCTGTCCCGACCACACGAATTAAACAGGAGTCAGATTCGTACCCTTTCTGTACTCCCTCGGAAAATAAGAAACATGAATTTTCAAGACAATAACAAACACAAGAAGAACTTCATCCGCGAGCAGTCAGATGGCAACAAATGATAAGTAATCTCAACAGCTGCCATTGATTCATGCGAGAATATTTCATATGTGGAGCTTCATATGCTGCATGTTAGCTGAACGATTTCTGTTAGACTAATCTCTATTACCTTCAATGCAGATGGAACAATTCCTCTAATCCGCTCAAAGCTTTCGTTCTGCCTATTTCTTCGTCTACGTTCTGCATACATATTTGAGAATCTGAGGCTGCATCCATTGGTAATTTGTATGCGTCGCTTAGTTCCAGTAAAGGACTTCACTTTGTCAAGCAGGCATTAGACATCTGTGGTAGTTAGTTGAATTGAACCAAATTCAGCTCTGAAAGGATACGGCGACATGCGGGTCCAAGCCAAACAAACGCAAGAGGCGGGCTCATTCTGCAAGTACGTGCACTGCAACTGAACTCACCTGATTCAGTCCCTTGCGCCCACTCGTCGCTGTTGATGATTTAAAATGTCCGACCGTCAACGTCGGAGTAAACAGTGCAGATTTCGCAGACGGGTGAGTCCAAAGCAATCGCTCTATATACGGGAATGGGAATTACACATTTCTGCAGCGGAGAGAAATATGTCGCTCTGGAGGTGACAGTATTATTTCCAATTCCTCGACGTCGAAAATGCGTGCAACAATTCACAATCGAGCTCGACGGCCTGAAGAAAAGCTCATTACCAAAGAGGACCAAGAACCCGCAGTCAGACGCACCTCCGGCACTCCTGCAGCGAGCAAGCTCGGCAGCGTCGGGGCGTCCGAGGGATTCAAGAATTCGAGAATGCAAGAGCGACGAGCGCTTTTCCGCTGAAGCAACGAGCGAAGCAGCGCATTGGTCTGCGGACGATGGCTCAGACCTAGGCTACGATATAAGCCTCGAGTCGGAGCCGGCGAGAGGACCTCGGGCGATGGAGGTCCAGATGGAATCCAGCCCAGAGACCGTCTAGAAGGCGAGCCCGAGGGATCGCGGAAGCAGACGGACACAGACCCTCCGATGGCTGTCCAGCCCCCGCGGCTTGACGGACGGAGCGAGCGAGCGAGCGAAAGAGCGGGCGAGCGCAAGTTCGTTGCCGCGATGGAGATGCCTCTGAAGTGACGAAGGGGAGCGGGAGCTTAAGAAGCGGACGGGGTTGCGCCTGGCCGCGGTGGGGCCGGCCGTGGCGTCAGGCCCGCTGGCCGCTGCACAAGATCGCGCAGCGCTGCGCTGGTCAAGGAGCTTAAATTACCGAATGACTCTGGTCGATGCACGTGGTTTTTAAAATAGGAACATGTGGCGCTAACCCTTTGTCGTTGCAGTGCTCCGCAATTTCTCGCGGTCCGCCTTTGCCCTCCGCTCGGACTCGCTCCTTCGTTCGGAGAGGATCTCATCGTGGCCGTTCGCCACTCCCCTCCGCTTCTCCCTTAAATTCCTTACATTCTCATTCCGCCTAGCCAATCACCGGGCCTCGGGCTGCAGTCAGCTCCAGGTCTCCCGGTGAGTGTTGACGTCGTTTGGCGGCGACCAAAGTGGGAGGGACCAGGGCTTTTCATCTCGCTGACAGGTCACAGATGACGTTTTAGAAAGCGCATCCGGTGCGCTTTTTAAATCGATGATGGAAATAGAAAGGCAGGGGAGGAGGGTGGCACCCAAAAACTCTCTGCAATCCTTCCCTTCGCTCCGACGTGTGATTGAAATATCCCACGAACTAGGACTGGACCTGCAGAGGCGGTAGTCGGTGACCTCTCTGGTCGTGTTCTTGTAGATTCGGCGATGAGGTGCGTAGGCTTTGTCTGTGACCTGGTTGCTCTAGAGCATGTGTCCTGACGCCCTCTCAAGCTCGCGTCCGCATATTCGTAGAATAGCGGACCCTAAGGCGAGAGAACGACCAGTTTCTCTAACCGATAGGGGCAACTAGGGCTTAGGGGTGGAAGAGTTACTGTTTTCGTGTTCATTTAATACTTTAATATTTTATTTTACTGTTCACCCAGGGGCCCCTATATAGACCCTGAATGTTCATTGCTCGGTCGGTTCCTGTAGAGACGCCCACCCTTTTTTCTGAAACTTCACGGCCTAGACATGAAGTCCCCGGGCTGCGAACATCAACCCTCTATACCTTCCTATTTCTCAACTTTGAAACCTACAGATCGAAGGTTCCATATAAGTTCCTAAGAAAATCTCTCATGACCCGAAGGTGGTATATCTCTCATTTCGTCCAAGATTCTGCAAGTTGCATGAAGAAGTTTTCTACTATATATCTCAACACTACTTTTTGCATGGAAAGCTTTAATTTTTATTCCAACATGTGCCCCTTCTTCGATTTCTTCTTTACTCTAATATATTAAAGAGTTATATGGTCGTGAGATTCAGAAGTATGGAGCCATATCACTTGTAAAATGAAGAAAATCCATTGTGATCATTTAAGATCATAAGGGAGGGGTGTCCGCATTGCCCTGGTTAGTAGCCAGTCTGATTTACGGGAGGAGCCAATTTATCGAGTATCGAGCTCACAACTGTGGTAGTGTTCATGTTCTTCAAACAAATGTACTCGACTCCAGTCCAAAACGAACTCTCCTAGCGGGTGACGCATGGCCGGTCCCTGGAACTGGGAACCAGTTCACGCGTGAGTGTGTGTGGGGAAACCTTGCGGGCAGGATTGAGGACAAAGAGCATAAAGTCTTATTTGATTGTCCTTGAGAGGATCAAATAAACCTCCTGCAATTCTCAGATCCTACTTTTGTTGGCAATTAAGGAATAAATTAAAAGTGATATGTGAGATGATCCCTCTGTCCAAAAAGGCGACCTCCTTGTGTGTTGTTCGAGTAGAGAAAAGTTACCACGTCCACCCACGACAGGAACGCGGTTCCCGAAATGTCGTGGTCAGAAAATCGGAGATGCAACTCGCGCGGTACCTTGTTTGCTCGCAGCGATCGGATCTCAGCGATCTTGTGGTATAGGTGATCTCATCGTATCTACAAACTACGCGCGTAACCTATCTGTTTTAAATCACGCGTCGGAACGCAGAACGTGAATGAGCCCCACGGTAGGAATCCCGAATGAAATCGGACTGAAACCATGCAATATCGGAACAGCGTGAATGAATTTCTCATTTCTAATTCTCAACCACGCGTAATTCGAGTCGCGTGAATCATGCTTCTCCACGGTGCCGTTCTGCAAAGATCGCTACTGCACTGTATTTTTACACCATATTCACTCAGTTCCATGAGGATGAATATGTACACTCTAGTTACTGTGACGCTTTATGTTCATATCTGGATACCAAATCCGTGACAGGCAATGAAAATCAATCGAAAAGTATACCGCGAAATTTCTAACCCGTCTACGGAAAGCCTAAAGGAAAACTTGCTGCCAGGCTTTATGGATAATAAAGTCTGCTTCTAGACTTTTGGATGCAGTACATTTCACCGAAACCTGAGGAAGCCTCAAAAGGCGAGGATTGAGTCAATCGGATTCTGCCGATCATCGACCATGGATCAACTCGCCCGTAATATGTCAATGCCCGTGTATATCAGTCGTCTCAAAAAATGCTATGTATGTAAAAAATATCAAGTCTCCGTCAGGATGATGTTGTGGACATCATCCGTTGATGAGTGTAGAAATTGCTCACCAGCTATGAGTACCACTTCTACTTTGGATAGTTCTTGATTACATATTTCTTGACTAAGTAAAACGTTCCCGATCACAATAAAATCCATATATCACAATCTAGATACAATCAGTTTCACTCATCAGTAAAAAAGTCCATGTACTTTTCAGTTGGAAATTCATAAATTTTAGTACATGTGTTATCATGGAAAATTTATAAAATCTCTATTGATTAAAACATACATTGATGAAGAAATAAATTATTCAGGAAATGCACTTTAAACTTTGGACTTTTAGCGTTGTTTGACTAAACATTATTCATACTTTTGAATTGTTTCATGAAATCTCTTTCTCAATTCAAATATTTGAGTTTTACATAGTATAGCTTCCTTGTGATCAAATACTTTTATTTCCTTCTGTTGTGCATATTGGACCTGATTTGTTACAAGTTATCAAGAACATTATGGAAGAAATGTGTTGCAAATATTGTTTCTAATCTAGAAAGATTTACTAGATTTTCATATTAGTTATCTTTGCTGCAATATATCCAACATATTTCACAGTCATTGATATTATGACTGTGAAATATGTTTCATGGACATGTTGTGAAAGAATGTGATTATTTATCATGATTTGCAAAAAATCAATACAGAAATACAAAATTTTATTGTGATATGTAATATCAATTCCGGCCTTTGAAGTTTACAAAATACAATCACTTGGTCTGAAAATTAAAAAAAGATGACAAACGTAACATTCAGTCTCCAAATTCTTTTGATAGTCAGAATACAATCTATAAATACCAAAATACATGTATAAGATCTGATGATTTTATACATCTTTTGATTCATCATACGATTCAAAACACATTTGCAAATTTACATTGATGAATTTTTTCACTAGAAAAATAAAGAATATCAAATTTTATCAATATTTCATAAATTAACATGAGATAGATTATGAAAGACAATATTGAGCTTGGCTTAGAAAGTACTTTTTATGAATCTATGTCATGATAAATGAAAGTTTTTAGAGATTTATACATTTGGACCTGATGAGGCTAATAAGATTCTTGGTTTCTATATTTAAATTTATTTTAGATTATTTCACATGGTTGAGAAAAAAATTGTCAAGAAAATGTATTGATTACCTATATTAATTACTTAAATTCCAATGAAAATTTGGATAGACTGTTAGCAAATAAATCTGTTCATGAAAGTTGATTGGATTGGAGATAACTTCAGCAGCTTTCGTTGGAAATTTCATGATAAATCGGCTATAGAAAGATTAGTCGATTTGGTGACAGCACGAATACGGTAGTGTGGAAAAAAATTCAAATTTGGATCTTGACATGTTGGTGTTTTTTAACGGTAGGCATATTGCTAGGAAGTTGGTGAGCTTATCATAAAATAGGCTTCGTTGCGTTAACTAACAAGCTGCGCCCTGTGGTTGTTTCACTTTATGTTTTTTTGTTCACTATGTCTTTCTTTGCTATTTTTTTTTTGCTTATATATATTCAAAATATACTATGTCTTTTTAAATCATATATAAATATGAGGAAAGTGTTATGATTTATCAACCTCATCCTTTTGTTAAAACTGCGGATTATGATGAACAACGTGTGATGACTAATCTTACAATGTAAAATTTTTAAAGATATATTAGATTGATGGATTAAAAGTTATAAATACCCACAAAATTTCTGTTTAAAACTTGTTATTATGATGATGAGTTTAATTGAAGTGGTAATAGTAAGGTTAAATGCATCAATTTATATTTTATGAATGAATTCATCTTTTTCATATTTAAATTGCCTTTTATTTTGAATACTAATATATCAATAATGAATAAACGTCTCAAATTGAATAGAATTTTCAATTATCATGTCAAATAAATGCATATTTTTATGCTACTGTAATCAATTTTTCAAAATTTAGTTTATTAAAAGAAACGTGTAATATTTATAGCTTTCAAATCACAACATATCTATGTTAAAATCCATGAGTTATTATTTCCATCAAATGCAAAACAATGGATGAAAAGAAAGACGTAATCTCGTATCATGGATTACTGCAACGATTTTTCAGAGCGAGTGTGGTTTTGTATCAAAATTTATAAATCTAATAAAAAGATAATCTGCTTTTGAAACTTTAATGTTCACAAATTAATCAAATTTTTATTTTACTTTATATTCTCATGCAGTGGTGAATACTAATGGAAAATTTTTATAATAGGCAGAGATCGTACTTTGATAAGACGGTCTTGATTGATGTGTGGAACTCCATTAAGCATATCGTTGATTCATCCAACAATGGATGCATAAAGAACCAGGTAGTAGATTTTTTTCCCAATTTAAAAAAATTATATATAATTAATAAATTTTTTTACTAAGTTGAGTACTGTTTCATTAATTGCATCATACAATAGATCTAACCGTTTACAAGAATTGTGAATCTCATAGCAGTTAACAATGGACACAATAACAATTCAAGCTCATCGATATAAATTACAACATATCACATAAAAAAATTGGAGATTAAATATGTTCAAATGATCATTATTAATTTATATAATTCCTAAAATGTGAATGAAACAAATTTCAAATTAAAGAAATATTGTTATTATGAAAAACATATCGGTTATGATGACTTTGTCATATGATACAACTTAGAAATTGCAACTATGGCACAACAATTATTATAGGTTTTACGTTTTATATATTGATTAATATTTCTCTTTTTGGGATGGATAAAATAATAATTATTTATACATATGAGAATTTATGTATTTTTTTTACTTACATACAATTATATAAAAAAATTAGATAGATTGTGTATCAATATACTCTCGTTGGTGGTCACATGTGCTTATGTTGTGATGATATAAGTCAAAATTATATTTATAGCAATTATTCAAGATGAGAAACATAACATGTATACATATAATAATAAAATTTTATCTTCCTTAAGATGACATATGAAAAATTTTATATTAGAGATAATTTTATCTAATTATAAATATTTTTTGTAATTTCATGAATTTTTTAAGTTTTTAATAATAATTTTAATAATTTATTTGTAATGATTGATTAAAAATTCTGATAATAACTGATTCTGTAGCATAATGAGTGATTAAAAAATGATAATTAAAAATTGAGCATAAAGAACTAAGAAGTGCAAAGCTTGTATCGAAGATAATTATATGAAAACGCTGTTTGTGATAAAGAATAAACTTCATGTTTAAAATTTTTTTTGAGACATTCATTGATCATAAATTTTGAATCTGATAAAAAATATACATTTTATAAAAGAATCAACTTGTTTGATTGTACGTGCAAGACAATCTAAATTTCATTGAATTAGAATGAATCGTTTCTGAACTTATAATCCATTTTTTTTGAACATGTAAGAAATTATATAATATGAATTTGCATGTGTGAAAATATTTAGCAATCTAGAAAAAATTGAAGATTAGAATATTTATAATGTTAAAAAATACGTGTCAAAAACTTAAAAGTTTTAGAGATTCTATCTAAATTTCTATTAACAGAAATATATTTCAATAAAATATTGTGCAACTGGTTTTAAAAATACTTACTTTCAAGTTTTAGTTTGAAAGATGATCGAATTATGTTCAGATGTAATATAAAACTTGAATAGATAATATGACTAACTTACAAGAAGTACATTGGTTATGAAGAAAACATGATAGGTATGACAAAGCTTAAAGATACATGAAATTGAAAATTTAAATGTAGATATTTAAATCAATAGGATAATATTAACACATTAGTGGCAACGTAAACAACATACATCATCATATGAAACTCAAGAAAATAAATTTTTTTGGAGATTATCACTTTTTTCTGTCGCTTTATGGAAGTATAAATATATGATAAAATACATAAAATCACAAAACAAGAATAAAATCACTTTTACTGCAGTCAAATATAATCAGCAATAAAAACAAGTTTAGGTATATATGTATACGAAGTATAGTGTATCAACACGCACGTGTTGATACACTATACCATACACAAACCATCAAGACACAGAGTTGAGACTAAATCTTACTTTAAGATGTATATTATAATTAATATTAGTAGTCTAATTGTATTCTTGATGGTCTTCTAGTAAAGATAACCCAATAAAATTTTCCAATCTTTTTTGTATATTTTCAAGTTTATTGTTTGTATATTCAAGTCTCAAATTCTAAAATATCAAAATATAGATTAGAATCAAAGTATGTTCTACTCCATAAAAATATCTGATTCAGTTGTTGTTCGAACAAAAATTTAGATAACAATTCTTTCTTTTTCAGTACCACGACAAGGATTTATATGAACATTCTTGAAAGCTGTAAATTAGTTTATGATAAAAAAGAATTATTCTGATCTTATGTGCAAGATATTTTTGAAATTAGATGAAAAATATCATATTGATAAATTCCAAAGCTTATCACATGATGTTGATTCTTATGATCAGCGATGAAATTATATAAAATAAACTTGAATCTCATTGATGATTATGTTAACTATCATAATTATTTTATAATTATTTGATATTTTACCATTTTATAATATCATACAGTAAATACTATTAAAATGTACACTGAATATTTAACAAGTTGATATTCCATTTATGAAGATGAATTCATTATTTCATGAGTTACAATAGAAGTATAATATATCACAACTGAAATATCATACCCTATTTTAACTCTATGTCATGAGAATTTTGAAGTTGGCAACGTACTTACATACAGTGTGAATTTGTGTATAAATTTTATTAACACATACAGCAATTCATCGAAGGATACATATTGCCATATGAATTATATTGAACATTATATAACAGTGATACATTTATTATTGAAGCAAATTAGAAGGAGGTAGTTGGATGTGACTCCCCTTCGCTGAAAATGTGGATTCTGTTGAAAATCCAGGAAGAAGATTTTTCTATATTTAGGTCGATTACTTGGGATCAAACTTTATAATAAGCCTATATACTACACACGAGCTCTAACAGGTGTTACCTTGTATATTGAAATTGAAGAGAATATATGAACTGCAATTAAGCAAGGCGTAGGAAGTTCTGCATGAATCTCAAATCTTAAATCACGCGTAGTAGACGTAGATTTGTTGAACTATTCAGCCACTTGGGCATTGGAGAATGAGTAAAACGAGATGTACCGTGGCGTGTAGAGTGTGCAGAACGTCCGAACAGTTGAGAAGCAAAGTTCCGATCATTCAAATATGCACCTTAAGATCGAATCAAAGGATTTCTTTCGAATTCCTACCTTCGTTCTCGGCAACTATCGCGCAAGTTTGCACCGCGTTGATTTCTTATGTCATGCCTCGCGTCAGTTTTTGTGCGGCTCTTACATCACTTATGGCGTCGATGGTGAGTCTGCGTTGGGACTCAAGTCTCGAACTTGAAAGGTCAGCAGGTTTTCGCTACGGGTCTTTGAGACAGCAACAGGTCATCTTACCACGTCATCCACGTGAGTGAATGACAGTCCACGACTACGTTTGCACCAATAGATTTAATGGCAGCCGACAGGATCAAGGCGCCGACAAGTCGATTGAACACTTTCAGAGAGTACGTCTACAACAACGTATACTTGATGGGGTTTCCGTACGCTTTTCTCTAGAACAAGTCATCTTCCTATACATCTTCGTTCTGTTCTATATTTTTCATGGTAGATATTCTTGTACTGATTCCGTACTGCTGTCCATGAGTCTATACAAATGCTGGGATGAAGATGATTTTAAGTTGACGTGAATCCTGATGGGGAAGGTTCGAAGAAGCATAAGAGATTGAAGCAAGTGTTTCAGTACTTCCTGAAATCGAACAATAAAATATACTTCGCTGCGAGTTTTCCGATTACACCTGAGAGTGCCAGTCACAGAGGAATGCCAGATCAGTCCATGATGTAAAACAGTTGTACTACAGGAGCCATACTAACATGGTTGCCCTATCATCACAACTCCAGTTATCTAACTAACTTGAAATTTGATAGCAAGCAAATAGTAATCCCCATCAGGAATGAAATTTGATGTCCAATTTTTTCTAATAAATTAACAAACATGTACAAACTTACGTTTGAATATTTGACGGTTTACCATTTACTAGACTGATTGTCTTCGTACATATCATCATTGATATACCTGAAGTTATATCTTCTGCGAATTCGTAAGCCAGCGATAATCCGTGCTCTTTAAGAATATATTGACAAAAATATATCACATGTTAAAAAGTAACTGGTATATACATTTAAAAAAATCATACAATTTGATACAAAAACACATAACAAATCTCATAAACCTAACTTTAAAAAATTGAAAATAAAGAAAACTCATGGTAAAATAAATCACAATTAATACTGAATGGAATCCATATCTCATGTAAACAATT